TTTTCACATTTTGTTACGTTACAGCCTTATTCTAAAATGGATTAACATTTTTAAAATCCTCAGCAATCTACACACAACACCCATTAATGACAAAGCAAAAACAATTTTTGCAAATTCATGAAAAATAAAAAACTGAAATACCTTATTTACATAAGTATTCAGACCCTTTGCTATGAGACTCAGAATTGAGATCAGATGCATCCTGTTTTCATTGATCATCATTGACTTGTTTCTACAACTTCATTGGAGTCCACCTGTGGTAAAATCAATTGATTGGACAGGATTTGGAAAGGCACACACCTGTCTATATAAGGTCCCACAGTTGACAGTGCATGTCAGAGCAGAAACCAAGCCATGAGGTTGAAGGAATTGTCCGTAGACCTCCGAGACAGGATTGTGTCGAGGCACAGATCTGGGGAAGGGTACCAAAAACATTCTGCAGAATTGAAGGTCCCCAAGAACACAGTGGCCTCCATCGTTCTTAAATGGAAGATGTTTGGAACCACCAAGACTTCCTAGAGCTGGCCGCCAGGCCAAACTGAGCAATCGGGGAAGAAGGGCCTTAGTCAGGGAGGTGACCAATAACCTGATGGTGTGATGGGAGAACCTTCCAGAAGGACAACCATCTCTGCAGCACTCCACCAATCAGGCCTTTATGGTAGAGTGGCCAGACGGATTCCACTCCTCAGTAAAAGGCACGACAGCCCGCCTGGAGTTTGCCAAAAGGCACCTAAAGACTCTCAGACCATGAGAAACAAGATTATCTCGTCTGATGAAACCAAGATTCAACTCTTTGGCCTGAACGCCAAGTGTCACATCTGGAGGAAACCTGGCACCATCCCTACGGTGAAGCATAGTGGTGGCAGCATCATGCTGTGGGGGTGTTTTTCAGCGGCAGGGACTAGCAGACGAGTCAGGATCGAGAGAAAGATTAACGGAGCGATCCGAGGAGTGGCTTCGGGACAAGTCTCTGAATGTATAGTCTGTATGGTCCTCCCCTTCCTCCTCTGAGGAGCCGCCACTGGAAGACAGGCACTTAAAGTAGATGGCCCTAGCTAGCAAAAAGACAGTACTAGACAACAGATAAAGAAAACCTTTATACTTATCACTTCTGGATATATCAACAGTCCTCTAGCTATAGAATGAAGCACACATTTGCATTACATTTGGGTTTTAAAACATGATCCAAGGTCAAATAAATGCATACCCATAGCGTTTTACTGCAGACTTTTATTTTGAAGGCAAAATCCGAAAACAGGAAATCTTAATGTGGATAGGATCCAGCTCATGCAGCCAGGGTTCCGGTCTATAAGCACGGTTTCGACTGCCCCTACAGCTTTGCTTCGGTACTGCAGTTTAACTGACACCCGGCCCAGAAAGACAATTTCCATTCAAGGCCACATAGAGAAGTCAGATTTGAACATTTTCGTCATCACCTTTGTGCACAAAACATTCATTGAATTATTCTAATAATTGTCACTCACAGCCGAAGATACTGGGCACATTCGAGCGGATAAATGTTTTCGACTTGCACTTACATGTCGACTGCATGAACTTTACAACAACCATGTAATCAAAGGCCATGAAGTTTCGACTGCGGTCGACTTCAATTTTCTGCAGTTGCTCCTCACCAGCTGCAACTTGCAGCCATTGCCTGCAATGTGGGAGGCATTATTTGTCAACCAATCATTAGTGTTTTTGTTTGACCCATGCGAATGGGACCAAAGACATGACTAAACAGGAAGCAACTTTGCTGCTATTCATATGTATACAGTGGATATGTACAAATGAATGTGATATTTGAGGCTCTCTCTCCCCAATTGATAGTACAATGTACACACATATATTTACAGTTTGTGAGTGTGTGATATGGGGGTTGGAGACATGTTTATTTCGACATTACAAAGAAAAACTTTTATAAACAATGCCAACACTGCCATGTTGCACTGAGCCTTGCTGTTGGAAAACCAGTGTCCGATTTTAGGCTGTAGCAGATGCATCTCCCCGACTTCACTCCTCGACTTTCGTCTACAGTCGGTTGCTTTATCCTTACCACTCAAACAAGACCATTAACATTTTATATTCATCCAATGTCTGCTATGTTTTTGGATGACATGATGATGTCGTCACTGGTCGTGCTTGTGATGTTGGTGACCCAGTGGAGGCTGCTAAGGGGAGGCGGCTCATAATAATGGCTGGAACGGAGTAAATGGAATGACATCAAACACATGGAAACTATGTGTTTGATGTATTTAACACTAATTTCGCTCCAGCCATTACAACGGCCGGACATCTTGGACGCAGTCCCCAGTTCTTATTATACCTCAGTGATCCAGCTAATGTTGCTGCCGTCAATCAGAAAGTATTCTAAACTTCCAACCTGAAGTTTTTTTGGGGTGGCATAGAAGCTGGCAGCATTACCGCCACCTAGCGTGCTGGAAAATGATGCGTAGACTAAGAAAACAATGTAAAACCTATAGCGCAGGGTAGGCCTATTCTTGAATACACATATTCTTTTTAGGCCTACACAAATGTCTGGATGGTTTGTACACTATGCACACTTGCTCTGTCAGTGCTAATTGTCTGCATTCTGTCTGAATTAACCTTACCTAAATAGGCCTAAACACACACACAAGCAAGCAGTCCTGTGTAGCTCAGTTGTTAGAGCATGGCGCTTGCAACGCCAGGGTTGTGGGTTCGATTCCCACGGGGGACCAGTATGAAAACATTTATGCACTCACTAACTGTAATTCGCTCTGGATAAGAGTGTCTGCTAAATGACTCAAATGTAAACTGATATTATATGAAAATTGGGCCTTGACCTTACCTTTATTTGTCATGATATTCCTTGTGATGATAAATGTTAATATTGTAGTTCAACACAACATTTGTGAAAGTCCCCAGCAAGCAGATTTAGATAACTTTAGCTGAGGGAGGTTTTTGTATGGCTCTGTATCACTGTGTGAACGGAGTAGCTTCATGCTGCTGACAGTAGTAATCTCCTGCATCTTCAGCTTGAACTCCACTGATGGTCAAAGTGAAATCAATATCATATCCAGTTCCATGATATCGACCTGAAGTAAAACCTGTGTGAAAGTTAATGATGAGCTTCTCCAGGTTTCTGATGGTACCAGGCTAAGTCATTATCAATGGCAATACTGGCTTTACAGCTGATCGTGGCAGACTCTCCAGACTGGACCATGACAACTGCAGGAGTCTGGGTCAATAAAATGTCCCCTGCACAGCCTGGAAGAGATAGAAAAATATGAATTTGCAGTCTTTGATTTAGATTAAACCTGTTTTAGTTCAAATATGAATATTAGAATAAAGACTTTCTGTTTAAATTAGGATAGTGATATTAAAATCAAATGTTTTAAGGTTAATTACTGAAGTAATTCCAAACATACCATTTGTGTAAAATGCAAGGACCAAGATAGTTCTCAAGATAAAAGTCATTTTTGTCTTATGTTGTGTTGCTTCTATAAGGACAATTGTTTAACTCACAGGGCTATAAACACTTTAAGACCACTGAAGCATGTGCTGCCAATGCAAAGTGTCTTCATATGCAAATGGTCCAACAGTCTGATGATACAGGACACCTGTGATATGACAATGCTGTTGACAACTCATCAGTGAGATAAAAAATGACCAGAATATTTATTGTGGTTTATTTATTCATGTAATAAAAAGCAAGCAGTATCAATACTGTCCAATATTGCAAGATGGACACTAATATATAAAAAAGTGTCTACATATAGTATTGTTAAATTTAGAACTATCTCCCTTTTCTTTTAATTACATTTGACACATTGTTTTTCTTGTTCTCCACAAGTTTCTTACCACCTCCCTTGATGGCTCCTAACGTCCTACACAGACACAGACAAAATGTCCTTTGTTAAGAAATCTTGTGTGTGCCTGATCAAAACCTTGCTTAGAGTAACAAGTGAGTGATTTGTCACATGAGTTGTACGTTCATCCTCCTCCATGTTGTCTGACTCATATTTGCTACCAACCACTCTGTGCACTCTCACCGAGCAGCTTTTGTTGTCACAAAATCTCACAGATACTCTTTCTCGCTTCCACACACACACACACCCACACACCCACACACCCACACACACACACCCACACACACACACACACACACACACACACACACACACACACACACACACACTATGTGACTGAGTGACAGTGGACCGGTCACACAATGCTGTCCTTGTGCCATAAACAAAAGGTCAGATGTCTCAAAGCATATTACATTTACATTTTACATTTTAGTCATATGAATCACAGACAGTCTGTCTCTCCTCTCAGGCTCTCAGACGCACTTCTAATCCACATCACAGCCAAATATCCTCCTCATATTCCTGGATATTACGCTGGGAATTGATTCACAATCCATTTGATAACATTTATGATAAATATTTAGCTGGAAATGTTAGCGAAACAGCACAGAGACGTTTTTGTGAGATGACAGCATGGTGCTTGAAGAGGCTCAGGGCAGGTTATGAATGGATAGGGGACTACAACTAATTTAAAAAAAAGTTATGTCCCCATTTAGATATAACACAAATATCAAACAAGTAAGAGTTTCTAAAATGTGCGTGTGTGTCCGCGTGAGTGTGTGAATGGTAGTGACAGACAGTAGTGCCCGTAGGCGGCCCTTGCGACACTAGACAGCCGGACCCTGGTCTATAGTATTTACATGTCATCATGACAAGTCCTCTGCCTGAAGGAAAAAACTTTGGATTTCAAGTCTTCCTCATTCACTCCTCAAGTTCCATATGAAGAGCAAAGTGAGTAAAAATCCATATTTTTATGTATGATATTATTATCAGATTATCCTGAATATTTAGCGATTTTTTTGGTGAAAGTTGCTAGAATTAACTTGAGGGTTGATGAGAAAGTGAAGCCATATACATATTCAGAAAAGAAAGCCATGTACGGAGGGGTTGGGAAAGGAAAGTCTTCTCTTTCTGATGTGCTTCCTCTGTCAGATTCGGACGACCACGTGTGTCCTATTTCTATTCACAAGTCTTGGCGTATGCTCAGGAGGATTTGGGAATCCTGTAACAGATGACGTGAGCAGGCTGATGTTATTGGTAAGAGCTTCTACATACTCTAACCTGAACTGTATTATGCTAAACTAGTCTGGTGATTTATTTAGAGTTTATTCCATCATAAAAAAATACTTTAAATGTCTTCTTTTGATAAAGAAAATGGGCTAAACTGGGCAAAAATAAATGACCAAATAATCCTAATTTATTTTTACAGAAACACAATATTCCAAAGGATTATAACATTTCTATGCATTATATTCCCAAAGAGATGGTGAGTAGAATTTCTCAAAAACAAAACATCATGCAGAAACTTTAAGAGGGTGGGAAGTTGTGGTGGGTGGTCTTAAACTTTGGCAGCATTTTTGTTGATGAACATTTTTGTTTTATTTGGAATCTGTAGAATGGAATCCTATGTAACCTAGTCGGTTTTCTCCCTTTTCTTACTCCAGAGTGGTGTGTGCTGGGTTCTACTGAATATCTATCCACTGGAACAAAGCCTTAGGGAACTGGCCAGGGTGTTTGGTGCCATTTCTTCCAACAAAGATAATATTATGATCTTCATCACCATGCTGCAAAATCTACGCTTCAAATTAGATCATGAGGAGCTGGTAATGCCTGTCAGTTCTGCCAAATGTAGACCCAGTTACTGTAGATCCAGTTTATTGACTGTATTAAGTGATGCAACCATCCTGATGTTTACTTTGTTTCTCTGTACTTCCAGGAGGCAACAATGCAAGTCTTTAAATGCCACTATAGGGCGGTCAAATGGCCGTCTGGGCAGTATTTTGACTATATCAGAGACATTTTGAATTCTGCAGCTCAGGGAGAAGGAGGATTCCGCTGTGTGCCTCCACCCTGCCATGCCCCTACTACACCAGGTAAGAAACAATCCCCAACACACAGTATCCATTCAGCCCCCACATACAGAATTCACAAGTCTCTTCCTCACAGAGCGTGTTGTTGTCTCTCTCAGGAAGTGAACCACAGGACCATGAACAGACTCGGTCAAGGGGGAGTCTGCTGTCCCTGCTTCTGATCCCAGTCACAGCCTGTGTGCTCCTCATAGTGTGGGCAGTAAGTTAACAATGTGGATGGCTTGCTCAGGCTGTATGACCTTGTCTGGTCCAGGAGACCTACAGGGTATGCAGTTTCTTGTTCCAGCCCAGCACTACTACTACACACCTAAATCAACTCTTCAACTAATCATCAAATGTGTTAGTACTTGGCTAGAACGAAAGCCTGCACACACTGGCTCTCCAGGAGCAGGACTGAAGAGCACTGGTGTATGGTTTTGGATGCTTCAACGTGATACTCTGTTCCACAGATTAAATCTAGAAGAGGAGGCTTCCCAGAGAGTAACCTTGACAGAGGCCATAGAAGGCTGTCCCCTGATGTGGAACGGACCATAACCATCCCTATTCCATTACTCACCAGTCTACCTGACACACCAATAATGGGGGAAGCCTGATCACCACTGAGGGAGCAGATGAAGCCAACATGAAGCACTGCATAGAGAGCAGAAAGCTCCCCCTCTGGACTGGTGTCACTCTGAACTGGTATCTCTGTTCTTCTTGGGTGATATCTCTGAGAGAACAGAGCTGAAATCTCTGATTTGGTATCTCTGACAAATCGGAGCTGATATCTCTAAAATATATGGGCTGATATAGTGGTCTCACTTAAACAAGGGACAACGGCGATAAGACATGAATCAACCGCTTACTAGAACTATATAATTTGGACTGTCATAGATTTTGACACAACACCATGTATCACAGGTTCCTACCTTATCTATGTCTGTCTAATCAGAGATTTTGACATTACCAGATACATTCTCTGCTGAGACTGAACTTTGTTGTTGCCTAAAGATCTATTGCTGCTGTGTGGCCACAGAGTGTGTGCTGACACTTTTTATGTCTCACCCCCTCTTTGAGTCACATCATCAGTGTGTGTGACTACAGTATGACAGTTTAACTACCAGCAGTGTGTGTGTGTGTGTGTGTGTGTGTGTGTGTGTCTGTGAGTAAGCTACCCTGTTCTGCATGATCTCAGTGAGGGCCATAAGAGGGGCTTGTTCTCGCCACAAAAGAAAAGAGCCGTAGGCTGAAGGAAATACCAGTTCCATGCTAACCGACAGAGACAGATCCTTATGAATCACAAACCGTTTGATCCTCAATCCCCAGACAGCAGGAAATCAGGATTCTCTGCCATCTCCTCTCATGCTGCTCTATCACACTCATTATGAAACCTTCCCACTGGGCACGGACGTCAATTCAACATCTATTCCATGTTGGTTCAACTGAATTGCATTGAAATGATGTGGAAACAACGTTGATTCTACCAGTGTGTGCCCAGTGGGTTAGGACTGACTGGTTTCAAGCATAATGTATAGCTAATCTTTAACTCCCCTCTAGTGGTCAGATACAGTAACTATACTTGGTTCCGTCAGCACCTGCAGTAGGTCTCAGCTGTAGCAGTGTAGTCACCGTACAGTCTGACTGAGGGAGGTTTTGTATCTCTGTATCACTGTGTGTACACCTAGGCACTTTATGTAGATAGTGTAGTTTAGATAGTGTTTGTAGTGTACATGTGTCTCATGTTTGAGTCCAGCGTCATTCACAGTCACATTCACAGATCTAACAGTCAGTAACCTGCTCATGAAAATAGTTAATATAATGCTAGAAGATTGCATCAATTTAAATCAGACATTTGGTTTAGGTCCATATGAGGACTTGTTTTGGGGGGCTGAAGTGGTTGTAACTTTGAAGTAATGTTGAGGTCATAACCCCTTTTGTTTTACTCCTGTAGATCTTGCTATGGACATGTATTGTGTTTCAAAACATCATCACTTTTATATACACTTTCAGGCCATAATAAATACTATAAGTCATAACCATGATGATGATGGTCATGTGATCTGAATGATTGCTTTAGCACCATATTGTAACATGTCACAGTTGACCTCATCTAGTGACCAGTGTTCCATGTCACTGTCTCTCTCCCCTCAGACACTGCAGTCTGACTGAGGGAGGTTTTTGTACGGCTCTGTATCACTGTGTGAACACAACACTACTGCTGTGGAAACTCTGACAGTAGTAATATCCTGCATCTTCAGCCTGGACTCCACTGATGGTCAGAGTGAAGTCACTCCCAGATCCACTGCCACTGAATCTAGATGGAGTCCCAGACTGAAGGGTTTTAGCTAAGTATATTAGGAGTTTAGGAGCTCCTCCAGGTTTCTGATGGTACCAGGCTAGATAGTTATTATTATACACATTACTGCTGGTTTTACAGTTCAGAGAGACTGTCTGTCCTGGGAGAACAGTTTCCACTGCAGGAGTCTGAGTCACAGAGTACTGTCCTCTGCATTCTGAAAAATAGAATGAAAACATTTCTATAAATTAATATATTATATGAATGTTCTATATATATAATTATAATACATTACTTGGTTAATTATCACAATATATTTTTCAGACAGATAGTGATAATTTTTGTTTGATGTGATCTGATTACATTAAGCTGTCTCATCATGTTCTTTAACTTCCAGGATTAGTGAACACTTCTCTAAACAAGCTGGTGGATTCCTCTGGTCAGTGATGTCTCAAATCTATTTACGTTCCCATTAATCTCACATCTTTAGATAATGTATTATAATCTGGCATCTATATTTTGTATACTCCACGCAACTTTTTACTCAATCTATGTGACGTATTTCTAGGCACACACCATTATATTTTATTCTGAGAATGATACAGATATAAGAAATGTATATTCATATTGGTTTTATGCATGTAGTTGTTATCATAGAAACAGCTTTCAAACTAAAGTTGTTCTCCGGAAAGATGTTAAAGTATTTGCCTGATGATTTCAGTTGAGATCTTCAGTACACTGCAGATCACAACCAGAGAGTTTTGTATAAGTATGGATTGTATCTGGGTTGACTTTTGTACACCATGTTAATCAGAAAACAACAAAATAAGGAATATCAATTTGATGTGATTCACTATCTATAATTTAGCCTATATGGGGATTTTTACTACTTTTACATATTTGGGAAAATATACAAACCTAGCATAATATGGAATTTAATAAGCATGTTATTACTCTAATTAAAAGACCGCCTTGAAACGATTAGGTATTAGCCTACATTTAGATAGGAGGAAAAAATACTGCACCTTCTAGGAAATGTTCATAAACAGTTTTAGTAAAAAACTTTATGTCAATGACAAGATAAATTATTTGTGCAAGTATTCACCATATAGAGTCATGATTCAACCCCAGTCTAAGCATTCAGCTTGCCCAATGGGCAGGGTTTTGTATAATCAGTAATAGGGATTTGTATCACTGTGGTGGACTTTTGGTAGCGGCACACCAGGCTAGATGTTGGAAGTAAGTAACAAGCTCTCTTGATATTTATTTCTGATTACACTTATTAAGTATGTTATTCTTACACTCTGTGTCTATGAAAATATTGCGATTTTAGATTTTCAAAATGTTTTAAATTAATTTTGACTGAGCCTTCTTTCAAATAACATTTTTTTAAAATCAAAATGTTAAATTGTAGGTTTATTTTTATGTCTGATTTGTATGATTGCAGAAATAACTCTTAATTCTGGTATGATGACAATTTAATAGTATTGGATATAGTAGTCATTATTGTTGCGTTGAGTTCATGGTAGCCTTCACTGTTAGTGTGAAGACAAAGGGTCTCAGTTATGTTTGTAACCAACTTCATGAACTAACATGGTTGATATGTGATTAAAACTAATTTATCCTCAAATTCTGCAAATACTATGAATATGAGAAGGCTATTCTGATCAGATCAATTCCTAAATAATATCTGTATGACTTGTAACTTATTTAATACTTGTTCGGTTCATTAATCTGCTTTATCATATTACAGTTTGTGTTTTCTCCACATCTTTTACCAATCTAACTTTTACATTAATATTTAGAGGGCATTTCCAAATCACTTTATTTTGATGTGTCCTTTGCTGAAGATAATCTCTTACTGTAACTGTACTTGATGTAGTTCCTTAGTTGATGTGTTCTGTTTGTTCCAGGTAACAGTTCCCCCACCCTCACCGTCCTGCCCCCCTCTAGTGAAGAGCTGTCCAGTACAACAACAGCCACACTGACGTGTCTGGCCAACAAGGGCTTCCCCTCAGACTGGACCATAAGCTGGAAAGTGGACGGGACCAACAAGAAGCAGGAGGCCAGTCCCGGGGTCCTGGAGAAGGATGGCCTGTACAGCTGGAGCAGCACCCTGACTCTCACTGCCCAGGAGTGGATCAATGCAGGAGAGGTGACCTGTGAAGCTCAGCAGAAATCCCAGACTCCAGTCACCAAGACCCTGAGGAGGGTTGACTGTTCTGGGTAGGACCCCTCAATCACACACCCCTGTGGAGAGAGGATGCTGGTTCCTCTTCTTTGACTTGCTTTGTTCTAAAATCAGTCATTCTTCAATCTAGTGATCACTCTGGTGTAGACTAACAGGGGGCTTGGCTTGAGTTCATGTGTCAATCCATTCTGTAGATTGAGATTTTGTTAGTTTTAGATTTGATGTGATCTGTTTTTATTCACTATCATGTTTGCTTTGATGCTTTGATTGTGTGATAATGGATTAAAACAAAGATTTCTTTTTGAAATGCATATTTTTGTTGTTTTTATTAATAAACTGGATCATAGATACTGTATATTTGCAAATTCTGGAAAAATATGTATTCAGTAAGGCTGATTAATGGTGTCTTTAACAACTGTCAAGTCTAAAACTCACTCTAACATTATAATTGACCAGTATTTCATACTATCACAATATACTGTGATATAATAGAAGAGCTGCTGCCATGGTAGTAGTTGACTGTCTTCATTCATCAGGATACTGAGTCTGTGTCAGACGTGTTTGACTTGACAGACTTTACAGTAATAAAATAACAACTATCAAACAGTCAACCGATATCTTGGACTCTCAAGTGTGTTATAGGCTGTGATTTGAAGCTAAATATATATATTTTTAATACAAATATTACAAGTGCCACTTCTTCAAGATATAGCAGTGTTTCCCAAACTCGGTCCTCGGGACGCCAAGGGGTGCGCGTTTAGTTTTTTGCCCCAACACTACACAGCTGATTCAAATTATCAAAGCTCGATGATTAGTTGATTATTTTTTATCAGCAGTGTAAAGCTAGGTCAAAAACCAAAACGTCCACCTCTTGGGGTCCCGAGGACCGGGTTTGGGAAACGCTGCTATATAGTGTAGTGACAGTCTTCTCTACCTCCAACCCCCTGGGGACAGAGTGAACATCTGGTGACAGTGCTGCTCTATTCTGGGACAAGCAGAACCACTCAGCCCTGTCTATGTAAATCTCAGTTTCACTCCCACAGATACCAATCTAGTAGTTGAACAGTTTCACTGCCTGAAATACCCTGGACTGGGCCAGATGTGAGGGAGTGGACTGGTTTTAACCTCTATAGTGGATTCAGGGAGGGACACATAACAGATATGCCACAATGTAATTAATGACAGATAAAATGGATATTATACTTTACGTAGATAGTGTATTTAGTGTAGTGTCTCATGTTTGAACCCAGCATCATGTCTCATTCACAGATCTAACAGTCAGTAACCTGCTCATGAAAACAGTTAATATAATGCTAGAAGATCACAATTTAAATCACACATTTGGTTGAGGTCCATTTTGGAACTTGTTTTGGAGGGCTGAAGTGATTGTTGAGGTCAGAACACCTTTTGTTTTACATCTGTAGATCTTGCTTTACATATTGGAAGGTAATGTGTTTCAAAACTTCAAAGAAATGTTATATACACTTAAAGGCCATGACAAATATAACAGGTTATAACCATTATGATGATAATGATGATGATGATGGTCATGTGAACTGACTGATTGCTTTCTAATCATATTGTCACATGTCACAGTTGACCTCATCTCGTGTTCCATGTCACTGTCTCTTCCCCCTCAGCACCTGCAGTAGGTCCCAGCTGTAGCAGTACAGTCACTGTGCAGTCTGACTGAGGGAGGTTTTTGTACGTCTCTGTATCACTGTGTGAACACATATTTACTATTGATGTAGTGGTAACTCTGACAGTAGTAATCTCCTGCATCTTCAGCCTGGACTCCACTGATGGTCAGAGTGAAGTCACTATGAGTTCCACTACCACTGAATCTAGATGGAGTCCCAGACTGAAGTGTTTTAGCATAGTAAATAAGGAGTTTAGGAGCTCCTCCAGGTTTCTGTTGGTACCAGGCTAGAGAGGGATAAGAGGTCCCTGCTTGATGCACATCACTGCTGGTTTTACAGTTCAGAGAGACTGTCTGTCCTGGGAGAACAGCTTTCACTGCAGGGGTCTGAGTCACAGTGACCTGGCCTCTGGATTCTGAAATAGATATGTCATGTAGAAATAGCATTAAATTGTTAATATATTTTTCCATATAGCATATGAAATTAAACTGTAATGAGGTTATATAGCCTAATAGTGTAATGGTCCGGGTCATTTTCTGTCAAATATATTACCTTGGAGACAGAGGGCAAATATCCAGATGAAGATGGTGATAAAAGTCATGGTTGTTGTGGGTTCTGTTGTCATGAAGGACAGCTCTCAGTCATGAAGTGTTAAACTCACAGGGATATAAACACTCCCAGACCACTGAAGCATGTGCTGTCTATGCATAGCATCATCACTATGCAAATAATCTTCTGGTCTTCTCCCCATCCATCATTTTTCAGTAAAGTGTCCTACATGTAAGTAGTCTTCCTGGACAGTCGGACGTGATGTAGAAACATGATAGCTATGTATTCACTGATATGGTTTCTGATATAAGTGCTGAATGGGGACTGATATAATGACTTTAGACATCTACATGTCGAGCATAACGTTATTACTGTGTTATTAGACCAGATAGTATCTGCTTTCTGTCTCCCTCCTGTGGTCAGGGTTAGTAACTGCAGTCTGTGTGTTGACCGTGTGATGCTGCTGCTTTAACGGGGAGATCTCCAGAGCTCTGAAGTCTCCAGTCTCTTGCTTCACCTGCTGCTCTCTGGAACTACCACAGTGGTGTGAGTGAGGATGAATGGGTAATGTTTAAGGGCTTCATTGTATGTGTTTGAATTATGTTGATTAAATTCCAGCTATTCAAAACAAAGGTCATCTTTAGGGGTTTTGATCATTGCACATCATCTCTATTATGATTGGTTGATGGTTTTCCTTGAGTTATTCAACAGAGTCAACATGTAGTTAATGGTCAGGAGAAACATTTAATGATCATTTATGATTTAATGTTTTCTAGACATAGCGGCAGGTAGCTTAGTGGGTAAGAGCGTTGTGCCAGTAACTGAAAGGTTGCTGCTTCTAATCCCCGAGCTGACTAGGTGAAAAATCTGTCGATGTGCCCTTAAGCAAGGCACTTAACCGTAATTGCTCCTGTAAGTCGCTCTGGATAAGAGCGTTTGCTAAATGATGTAAATAGCTCTAGTTTGACTCTTTTGTTGTTCAGCTCTACTATACACTGTGTCATTGTACTGGATCATCTCCTCCCCTCAGCACCTGCAATAGGTCACATCTGTAGCAGTACAGTCACTGTAAAGTCTGACTGAGGGAGGTTTTTGTATCACTGTGTGAACACCCAGACACTATTGAGGTAGTGGACACTGACAGTAGTAATCTCCTGCATCTTCACCTTGGACTCCACTGATAGTCAGAGTGAAGTCACTCCCAGATCCGCTGTCACTGAATCTAGATGGAGTCCCAGAGTTAAGAGTACTTCCTCGATAAACAAGGAGTTTGGGAATGGATCCAGGTTTCTGTTGGCACCAGGCCATACAGGGCATAGATTAACCACAGTTAGGATGCGCATCACTGATGGTTTTACAGTTCAGAGAGACTGGCTGTCCTGGGAGAACAATTTCCACTGCAGGAGTCTGAGTCACAGTGATCTGTCCTCTGGATTCTGAAAAATAGAATAAAAACAATTATATGAATAAAATATTTCATATAGTAATACATTGTTCTGAATATAAATATTAACATTGATATACATTTCAATGGTGCAGATGTAATTAATTTTCAACAGTAAATTCTGAAAAGTGTAACCTTGAAAGCAGAGAGCAAGTGTCCAGATGAAGATGGTGATAAAAGTCATGGTTGTTGTGGGTTCTGTTGTCATGAAGGACAGCTCTCAGTCATGAAGTGTTCAACTCACAGGGATACAAATGAAAGTCTCAAATCTATTTCTGTTTCCAAGAACGCTCACATCTTTAGAATGTATTTTATCCTGCATGTGTTATCTTGTATAACATCAAACAGCAACTTTTTACTCATATCACTAATGTATGACGTTTTTTAGGCACATCACCATTGTATTTTTATTCTGATGATGATCAGATATAATTAACTGTCTGTTCACTCATGCTTGGTCTCTTATGTAAGTTCCTCTAATCAGTTAGTGAACACTTCTCTAAACTAAAGCTGGTAGGATTCCTCTGGTAGTGTTGTCTGTCCTCTGTGACTTTACCACCACTGTTAAATCTGAGATCAACATCTTTAATAAAGGAATATACAATATGGATCACTATCACTACTACTGCTGCTGTTGTCTTTCATATGGACAATATGGAGGAATACTAGCAACACTGGATCTAATGCTGGACTGTACCTCCAGACTAGGAGAACACCTGATACACAGAATAAGGAAAAAATACTCATATCTGGTTTTAAGATGCAATTCATATTTGTATTATCTAGAAACAGCTTATATGAAGTGTTTGTTCTACCTGGAAGATGTTAAAGTGTATTTGTGTTGATGATGATTCAGTATGAGTGATCTTCACTGTAACAGCTGCAGCATCACAACACAGAGAGGTTTTTGTATAAGCAGTAATAGGGATTGTATCACTGTGGTGGACTTTTGGTAGCGGCACCAGACTTGATGTTGGAAGTAAGTAAACAACAAAATTAACTGTTTTATTCACCTTTTGATGTCGTGTTTCTATATCTATAAATTTAGCCTCGATATTGGGGATTTTTTTACTTACTTTCTTTACATGATTTTGGGAAGAAATATACAAAGCCTACACATAATATGGCCAATTTTAATAAGCATGTTATTACATCTAATTAAATTTGACCTGCCTTTAAACGATTAGGGTGATTAGCCTACATTTTAGATTAGGAGTATGAATAAACATACTGCACCTTCTAGGAAATGTTCAATAAACAGTTTTAGTAAAAAACACTTTATGTCAAATGAACAAGATAAAATCATATTTGGCAAGTATTCATACCATATTAGAGTCAATGATTTCAACCCCAGTCTAAAGAAATTCAGCTTGCCCAATGGGCAGGAGTTTTTTGTATAAACAGTAATAGGGATTGTATCACTGTGGTACACTTTTGGTAGCGGCACCAGACTAGATGTTGGAAGTAAGTAACAAGCTCTCTTGATATTTATTTCTGATTACACTTATTAAGTATGTTATTCTTACACTCTGTGTCTATGAAAATATTGCGATTTTAGATTTTCATGTTTTAAATTAATTTTGACTGAGCCTTCTTTCAAATAACATTTTTAAAAATCTAAATGTTAAATTGTAGGTTTATTTGTATGTCTGATTTGTATGATTGCAGAAATAACTCTTAATTCTGGTATGATGACAATTTAATAGTATTGGATATAGTAGTCATTATTGTTGCGTTGAGTTCATGGTAGCCTTCACTGTTAGTGTGAAGACAAAGGGTCTCAGTTATGTTTGTAACCAACTTCATGAACTAACATGGTTGATATGTGATTAAAACTAATTTATGCTCAAATTCTGCAAATACTATGAATATGAGAAGGCTATTCTGATCAGATCAATTCCTAAATAATATCTGTATGACTTGTAACTTATTTAATACTTGTTCGGTTCATTAATCTGCTTTATCATATTACAGTTTGTGTTTTCTCCACATCTTTTACCAATCTAACTTTTACATTAATATTTAGAGGGCATTTCCAAATCACTTTATTTTGATGTGTCATTTGCTGAAGATAATCTCTTACTGTAACTGTACTTGATGTAGTTACTTAGTTGATGTGTTCTGTTTGTTCCAGGTAACAGTGTCCCCACCCTCACCGTCCTGCCCCCCTCTAGTGAGGAGCTGTCCAGTACAACAACAGCCACACTGACGTGTCTGGCCAACAAGGGCTTCCCCTCAGACTGGACCATAAGCTGGAAAGTGGACGGGACCAGCAAGAAGCAGGAGGCCAGTCCCGGGGTCCTGGAGAAGGATGGCCTGTATAGCTGGAGCAGCACCCTGACTCTCACTGCCCAGGAGTGGACCAATGCAGGAGAGGTGACCTGTGAAGCTCAGCAGAAATCCCAGACTACAGTCACCAAGACCCTGAGGAGGGTTGACTGTTCTGGGTAGGACCCCTCAGTCACACACCCCTGTGGAGAGAGGATGCTGGTTCCTCTTCTTTGACTTGCTTTGTTCTAAAATCAGTCATTCTTCAATCTAGTGATCACTCTGGTGTAGACTAACAGGGGGCTTGGCTTGAGTTCATGTGTCAATCCATTCTGTAGATTGAGATTTTGTTAGTTTTAGATTTGATGTGATCTGTTTTTATTCACTATCATGTTTGCTTTGATTGTGTAATAATGGATTAAAATAAAGATTTCTTTTTGGAATGCATATTTTTGTTGTTTTTATTAATAAACTGGATCATAGATACTGTATATTTGCAATATTCTGGAGAAAAAAAAAATATTTTTTTACATTTTAGTCATTTTAGCAGACACTCTTATCCAGTGCGACTTACAGTTAGTGAGTGCATACATTATTATTATTTTTTTCATACCCCCCATGGGAATCGAACCCACAACCCTGGCGTTGCAAACGCCATGCTCTACCAACTGAGCTACATCCCTGCCGGCCATTCCCTCCCCTATCCTGGACAACGCTGGGCAAATTGTGCGCCGCCCCATGGGTCTCCCGGTCGCGGCCGGCTACGACAGAACCTGGATTCGAACCAGGATCTCTAGTGGCACAGCTAGCACTGCAATGCAGTGCCTTAGACCACTGCGCCACTGCACCAATATGTATTCAGTAAGGCTGATTAATGGTGTCTTTAACAACTGTCAAGTCTAAAACTCACTCTAACATTATAATTGACCAGTATTTCATACTATCACAATATACTGTGATATAATAGAAGAGCTGCTGCCATGGTAGTAGTTGACTGTCTTCATTCATCAGGATACTGAGTCTGTGTCAGACGTGTTTGACTTGACAGACTTTACAGTAATAAAATAACAACTATCAAACAGTCAACCGATATCTTGGACTCTCAAGTGTGTTATAGGCTGTTATTTGAAGATAAATATATATTTTTTAAATACAAATATTACAAGTTCCACTACTTCAAGATATAGCAGTTTCCCAAACTCGGTCCTCGGGACGCCAAGGGGTGCGCGTTTAGTTTTTTTGCCCTAACACTACACAGCTGATTCAAATTATCAAAGCTCAATGATTAGTTGATTATTTTTTATCAGCAGTGTAAAGCTAGGTCAAGAACCAAAACGTCCACCTCTTGGGGTCCAGAGGACCGGGTTTGAGAAACGCTGCTATATAGTGTAGTGACAGTCTTCTCTACCTCCAACCCCCTGGGGACAGAGTGAACATCTGTTGACAGTACTGCTCTATTCTGGGACAAGCAGAACCACTCAGCCCTGTCTATGTAAATCTCAGTTTCACTCCTACAGATACCAGTCTAGTAGTTGAACAGTTTCACTGCCTGAAATACCCTGGACTGGGCCAGATGTGAGGGAGTGGACTGGTTTTAACCTCTATAGTGGATTCAGGGAGGGACACATAACAGATATGCCACAATGTAATTAATGACAGATAAAATGGATATTATACTTTACGTAGATAGTGTATGTAGTGTAGTGTCTCATGTTTGAACCCAGCATCATGTCTCATTCACAGATCTAACAGTCAGTAACCTGCTCATGAAAACAGTTAATATAATGCTAGAAGATCACAATTTAAATCACACATTTGGTTGAGGTCCATTTTGGAACTTGTTTTGGAGGGCTGAAGTGATTGTTGAGGTCAGAACAACTTTTGTTTTACATCTGTAGATCTTGCTTTACATATTGGAAGGTACTGTGTTTCAAAACTTCAAAGAAATGTTATATACACTTAAAGGCCATGACAAATATAACAGGTTATAACCATTATGATGTTAATGATGATGGTCATGTGAACTGAATGATTGCTTTCTAACCATATTGTCACGTCACAGTTGACCTCATCTAGTGTTCCATGTCACTGTCTCTTCCCCCTCAGCACCTGCAGTAGGTCCCAGCTGTAGCAGTACAGTCACTGTGCAGTCTGACTGAGGGAGGTTTTTGTACGGCTCTGTATCACTGTGTGAACACATATTTACTATTGGGATAGTGGAAACTCTGACAGTAGTAATCTCCTGCATCTTCAGCCTGGACTCCACTGATGGTCAGAGTGAAGTCACTCCCAGATCCACTGCCTCTGAATCTAGATGGAGTCCCAGACTGAAGGGTGCTTATATAGTAAATGAGGAGTTTAGGAGCTCCTCCAGGTTTCTGCTGGTACCAAGCTAGACACTGTTTACCTGAACCACCACAATTCCCATAAGGATCACTGCTAGTTTTACACCCCAGAGAGACTGTCTGTCCTGGGAGAACAGCATTCACAGCAGGAGTCTGAGTCAAAGTGTACTGCCCCCTGGATTCTGAAAAAAAATACTTCAACCAATTAGCAAGTACCTCCTTTAATCCTTTAACACGTCTTATTGTGTCAATTCTATCATCATTTCAGTGTACCAAAATAGTTTAACATAAAACCAAGTAAATACAATTATCACCTTGAAAGCAGAAAGCAAGTGTCCAGATGAAGATGGTGATAAAAGTAATGGTTGTTGTTGGTTCTGTTGTCATGAAGTGTTCAACTCACAGGGATATAAACACTCCCAGAGCACTGAAGCATGCACCGCCAATGCAAAGTATCCTCTCTATGCAAATGGTCTTCCGAGGAACAACCAACACCATCAATACTGAGAAAAGGATTTGATGCAAGGGCTCTCTCACCATGTTATCTAAAAATAATGTATGAGTAAGCAAAAAGTAGATGCCTGTGCTTCCAGAATTCTAGTGGCTACTTACTGTGGGGCTCCGCTCCAGACAATCTGTTGAGGTTAAAAATAGGATTTGGTCTCATGCTCCCCCCAGTGGTTAAAGCTGGTAACAACAGAAACCTCAGCGTTTCAGTTAACCTAGATAGACAGTAACAGAGATGATACAGTATTGACACTTAAGTACCCAAACAGTCAGGTAATCAAACTCCACTCAAAGGAATTTTATCTAAATTAGTTCACTTGAAAATAGCCCTAAACACACAGTGAGTTTACTAAAACACAAATGTACATAAAATACACAAATATGTACATAATAGCAAGCCTTTTGTTTGGCAAATCATAATGCAAAATCAAGTGTTCAGAATGTCATGTGGTTTTGACCAATTCTCGTTAGAGGATTCACTCAAGCAAATCCCTTTAAAAGGTTTCGTTAAGTTCATTGAATAGGTCCCTTTATCACAACACATTTACATTTAAGTCATTTAGCAGACGCTCTTATCCAGAGCGACTTACAAATTGGTGCATTCAACTTAGGATAGCCAGTGGGACAACCACATCTTGATCACAGTAAGTACACTTCTTCAAACAAGCAGCTGTGAGCAAAGTCAGTGCAATCAGGGACAACTACATCTCGATCACAATAAGTACATTTCTTTAAACAAGTCAGTGCTAGCAGGTGAAATAAGTCAGGTGTTAGTTTAGACAAAAGACAGTGGTAGTAAAGGGGGGGGTAGAAGGATTACTATTATACTATTCCAGGTATTCCTTAAAGAGGTAGGGTTTCAAGTGTCTCCGGAAGGTGGTCAGTGACTCCGCTGTCCTGGCGTCGTGGGGGAGCTTGTTCCACCATTGGGGTGCCAGAGCAGCAAATAGCTTTGACTGGGCTGAGCGGGAACTGTGCTTCTGTAGAGGTAGGGGGGCTAGCAGGCCAGAGGTGGATGAACGTAGTGCCCTCGTTTGGGTGTAGGGTCTGATCAAAGCCTGAAGGTAAGGAGGTGCCGTTCTCCTGACAGCTCCGTAGGCAAGCACCATGGTCTTGTAGTAGATGCAAGCTTCAACTGGAAGCCAGTGGAGTGTGCGGAGGAGCGGGGTGACGTGAGAGAACTTGGGAAGGTTGAACACCAGACGGGTTGCAGCGTTCTGGATAAGTTTCAGGGGTTTCACATGTGCACTTAGTGAAATACATGACAAAAAAACATTCAGATAGTCCATTACACGTAGATTTAAGCACCTATACAAAGGTTAAATACATGTGTCTGATTTCCAACAGAATGAATGGGATGGATGTTGAGTCTCTTCAGCAATATCCAACAAAGCAACAGCGCCTCTTTGATAGAATACAGAACCTCTCTGAAAACAACACAGGAGATAGGAGAGACACAGGTCATTGTAGCTGTTTATACACCTTTTCCAGAGGTCATTGTAGCTTTCCTGTGGCGCTACAAAACTGTCTTCAGATGATCCCAAATCCTTCCTCATTGTCAGATTGGAATAATACTCAGGTTCAGTTGCGTCGCCCTTGTCTGGCACTGCTCTGCTGTTTTCATGAAGCCCTGGTCAGCCATCATTTGGGAGATCTCTGCATAAATGTGTTCCAGTTCAGTGTTTCCCCTCAGGTCCTCTTGGATTCTGTCACTGCCCCATATGTCGAGGAGGGCTTCAGTCTCCTCAATGCTCCAGGGGTGATCTAGTTCCCATGGTGATGGATAGCTGCCTGATTCTGGAGAGCCAAAAAACAACAACACATAAACAAAGGCCCAACGTTGATAGTATAACGTAAAAACAGCATTTACTGTACAGAGATTAGGAGATTGTTTCAGTTACCTGTTCCGTGGACTTGGCTACCTGGGACCTCTCCCATGTCTGTGGCGCCATTCGATTCCTCAGCCAGAGAGTCACAGGATAGATGCTTGTTCCTGAATATTTGCACAAACTGATCGTAGAATTTGCACTCCACATTTTCTCCTCCACTCCTGGGAAAATAGAACATGCTTATTCTTCATATCTGGTTAATTTATGAGCTTTGCTGTGCTAACATGAGCATGGCAAACCTCTGACCATGAATACAAAACTGTTCCATCAGTATGGCGTCTTCATAATCAATTTGCAATTATAAATAGTGGTTATCAACTTCATATCCATATCTTATCCCCCATGGCTTACTGTTTGCTCTCGCAGAACTGGCGGAAGTTGGCCTTTAGCCGCTTCACTCTAGACTGGCACTGTTCGGCTGTCCTCAGGTAGCCCTGGTTGGCCATGGCCTGAGAGATCTCGGTGAAAATGTGTCTGTTTTTGGTGCAGCCCTTTAGATCCTCCTGGACCTCATCACTCCCCCAGAAACTGAGGAGGACCTGGGTCTCACTGTCGCTCCAGGGGAACTTGGAGCCGTCAGTTGGAGGACGGCTAGCTGAAGACAAAGACACCCAATGAACACATTATTTACAGTGGAAAGGGGTTTAGGTCAGTTGAAATAAGACAACTCATAGAACGTTTCAAGGTATGGTATGGCTTTGCTTTACCTTTCCTTTGGTCAACCTCAAGTGTAGACTCGCAGACAGCAGCTTCCTCATTGTCTAACGAATCTTCGGCCAGACTGTCGAAGTTGAGCTCCCTCGATAAAATCTCCTCCATCTGATCGTAGAACTTACACTCCCTTCTGGGGAAACAAAAGATTAGACATATGGTTCAGAGGGAATTGGATCATCATATCCTCTGACCATATGTACTATGTAACAATACCAGTGATAAAAACAAGACCGCAATTACATGGTTTATTAATGAGATGAAATTGAGTAAATCATTGATTTCCGATGTTGTAGTGTAATTTATAAAGTGAATAACTAGACATAAAATAGTAGTTATAAATCCTTTGCACTCACTTGTCATGGTGGAAGCTGGCCTTGAGTCGTTTGATGCGTGTGTGGCACTGCTCAGCCGTCCTTATGAACCCCTGGGCCATCATCCTCCGTGAGATGTACTCAAACACGTGTCTGTTCTTCAAGCAGCCGCGTAGGGAGAGCTGCACGTGGTCCTCGCCCCAGACCCCCAGCAGAGCCTGGGTCTCCCAATCGGACCAGGGCATCTTTCTGCTGGACTCTGTCACAGCGTAACTGGCTGAGCCCTGGCCTTAAAAGATATATCTGTTTTTGGGAGGCTTTAGGTGGCTACTAAGTACATTTTTAGAAGATTGATTATGACTAGGGTCCTGATTTGACCTGACCAGGACAAACAACTGTTGGCACTGACACAGGAAAAACACAGGGCCCTAATTACATTAGACTTAGAGGGTAAGGATGATGAGGAGGCACCATACATGTTTCCTGATCTGCTTCCTCAGTGGGATCTGGATTGAAGTCATCACACAAATCAACAATCTCTGCATCGGGGGAGAGAGTGTCGTTGCCTAGCACCGGCTCCAGGAACCTGAAGTATCTGAAAAGTAAGGGCTCCCCTCCGACTCTGTAGGTACGATCAGAGGTAGAGGGAGGTGGAGAACAGTGGGAGATGAAGGGTTAATTTGCAACAGGTTCCAATTTAGACACCAAGACTCACCTTACCCACAAATTATCTGTGCTTTCCACTTACTTCCTGCTGTGGAGACACCGTCGGTAGGTTTTCCTCAGCCGCTTAACCCTCGAGTGGCACTGCTCAGCCGTTTTGAAGTGCCCCATGGTGGCCAGCTTCTCCGCTATGTCGGCGAAAATGTGCCCGTTGCGGACGCAACCTCGGAGGCTTGTCTGGACCTCCTCGTTCCCCCACAGCTCAATGAGGGCCAGCGTCTCTGGCTCCGACCACGGGGTGTATCTCATCTCATCAGCACCTGCTCCGGGAGACATTACATTGGAAACCTCCAGATCGTAGGTACCGCCCTGCTGATTGGATTGACTGAGTCTACAGTGTAAACATATAACCGTCTGTAAGATCACTGTACCTGTGTCCTGGTCTACTGTTTGATCGTCTCTTTCATCGTACTCATCAATGGAGACCGCTTCATGCCCAAGTATTCGCTCCAACTGATTGTAGAACTTGTATTCCACTCCCTTTCTTCCACATCTGAGAATAGCAGACAGAAAAGGAAGCCATTTTGAAATGAAAAAAATGTGGGTCGAAAATGTTTTGGGATGCAGTATTCTGGCTATGGGTTAGATTAGAGTACGCTTATGTTTCTGTAAATTAGTATCAAACATCAGAAAGTGTCAAATTTAAACCTGTTGGGTACAAACATACTTTTTCCTGTCGTAGCACTGACGGAAGTTGTTCCTCATGGACTTGACTTTCCAACGACACTGCTCTGGGGTCTTGGAGTACCCTTGGTCATGCATCTTTTCTGATATGTCCATGTAGACAGGGGCCGTTGTGGACAAAGTCTCTCAGCACCCTCTGAACCTCATCCTCCCCCCAGATGTCAATAAGGGCTAGGGTCTCAGGATCCGACCATGAGCCTGGTGTGGTCCTCTCAGAAGTGATGTTGTTGTCTGCTTCTGTAGACTCTAAATACAAAACAGCCCAATAACATAAAAGTTTCCCCGTTTAGACTTGGAAAAGGTACTTGTGTTGAGGAGACGGCACCTACAGTAGAACCAGTAACTAAATATGATATACCCATGCAGGGTGTCATTAGAAGGTTTGCATAGTTTGAAATGAGCTGAACTTTTACCTTGAAGTGAGTCACTGTTTGATTCCTCTGATATGTCATTGGTCAAGTCTGTCACCACTGTGCTGGTGGAGGGAGGCTGCCTTTCAAGTATTAGTTCCAAAATATCGTAGAACTTAAAATCAACCTGCTCAGACCCAGATGAACTAGGAACAACACAGGAAGAGAGAGATTGCAAAATTAGAATCTATCTGTAATCCAATTCACATTAGCAAAATGACAAATGTATCAATAATAGAAGCTGAAAGGCAATGGTTACCTGATGGTTTCCTGACACTGCCGATAGCTGGCTTTCAAGCGCTTTATCCTGGTGTGGCACTGCTCTGCAGTTCTGTAAAAGCCACGGAAGTTGAGCTTTTCCGAAATCTCTGAGTATATGTGACCGTTGTGCGGGCAGCGCTTCAGGTTCTGCTGCACAGTGTCATCTCCCCAGAGCTCCAGGAGGATCACCGTCTCGCCGTCCGCCCAGGGGACCTTCTTCCTGTCTTCTGGCACGCCCACAGCAGCCTCTGGATGGATCAGAGTCAAAGGGAAAGAGTGTGTGAGAAAGATTGTCCCAATCCCAAACCATCCACTCACCCTTATCCCTAAACCCTTGTTGACTCCTCCTCACAGATATCAAAGAATGAGTCAGATATGCTAGGTCGAGTTTCTTCCCCATCCTTCCATACCCATACAGGAGTGCTCAAGTTCATCCTATTATATTTTACTAGTGAAAGAGGTACTGGTTAACCAGTAGAGAGAATGTGACCATACCTCTCTCCTGGAAAGAGTAAACAGAGCACTCGTTGTCTGCTGACCATCCTTCTCTAGACTCCATGTCAAGACAGTTTTCTGACACCTCCACGTATGAGGGAAGCTCATTCCCCAGTATTCTCTCCAGTAGGTCATAGAACTTGCATTCTACTTGCTCTCTTCCTTTCATGCTGCGTTTGGGGAAAGAAAACAAAGCACTTTTCTGGCTCAAATAGACAAAATGTAAGCCATGACAGGATATCAAAGAAGAATATAAAGGCCCGAGCATAGATCCCTGTGGAACTCCCAATGCACAAAGCAAATGATTGTTCAACTATAATTGACATACTTGTTCTCGTAGCACTGTCGGAAACTCCGTTTCAGTCTTTTCACCCTCGTCTGGCACTGCTCTGCAGTCCGAATAAAGCCCTGGGCAGACATCTTTTGGGATATCACAGCAAAAAGGTGACCATTTCTATGCATACCCCTCAATTCCCTCTGCATTTTGTCCTCTCCCCATATGTTGATTAGGGTGAGGGTCTCCAAGTCTGTCCAGGGAACACTTCTGGTTCCTTCCGTGGAAATAGAGACAAACACAAGAGCAGTGATCACTGACTATTAATCATTTACATTTAACATTTTAGTCATTTAGCAGACGCTCTTATCCAGAGCGACTTACAGTTAGTGAGTGCATACGTTTTCATACTGGCCCGTGGGAAACGAACCCACAACCCTGGCGTTGCAAGCGCCATGCTCTACCAACTGAGCTACACAGGGCCATTTGATTGATTTTGTTGAATCACAATGCACATTCCAAATGTTAAGTCAGCTGTATTAACATTCTAGCAGTTTGACCTCTTTGTAAGATGTTGGGCAACATGCTGCATGCAAACACACATTAGTCCCTTTCCCAAGAGCCAATATTATGCGATTTACCAAGACAGGCACAATAGGACCATACCAATCTCTTCTAGACCAGAGTGGCCAGGGAACTCCCAATCTTCAGTGTCTTCTAGCTGGTCATCTGTCACCTCTTCAACATCATAGGTGACCTCAGGAAATGTTGAGGGGGACACATTCCCAAGTATTCGCTCTAGCTGGTCATAAAATTTGCATTCCACTCTGTATATAGGGAATGGTTTCAGTGTGAGAATACAGACAAGCACATTCCAGGGATATTTTCCCCATGTCCATAACGTGCCAGAGATAAAAAAGAATAATTATTTATATATATATATATACACACACACACACACACACACAGTGGGGAGAATAAGTATTTGATACACTGCCGATTTTGCAGGTTTTCCTACTTACAAAGCATGTAGAGGTCTGTAATTTTTATCATATGTACACTTCAACTGTGCGAGACGGAATCTAAAACAAAAATCCAGAAAATCACATTGTATGATTTTTAAGTATTGAATTTGCATTTTATTGCATGACATAAGTATTTGATACATCAGAAAAGCAGAACTTAATATTTGGTACAGAAACCTTTGTTTGCAATTACAGAGATCATACGTTTCCTGTAGGTCTTGACCAGGTTTGCACACACTGCAGCAGGGATTTTGGCACACTCCTCCATACAGACCTTCTCCAGATCCTTCAGGTTTCGGGGCTGTCGCTGGGCAATACGGACTTTCAGCTCCCTCCAAAGATTTTCTATTGGGTTCAGGTCTGGAGACTGGCTAGGCCACTCCAGGACCTTGAGATGCTTCTTACGGAGCCACTCCTTAGTTACCCTGGCTGTGTGTTTCGGGTCGTTGTCATGCTGGAAGACCCAGCCACGACCCATCTTCAATGCTCTTACTGAGGGAAGGAGGTTGTTGGCCAAGATCTCGCGATACATGGCCCCATCCATCCTCCCCTCAATACGGTGCAGTCGTCCTGTCCCCTTTGCAGAAAAGCATCCACAAAGAATGATGTTTCCACCTCCATGCTTCACGGTTGGGATGGTGTTCTTGGGGTTGTACTCATCCTTCTTCTTCCTCCAAACACGACGAGTGGAGTTTAGACCAAAAAGCTATATTTTTGTCTCATCAGACCACATGACCTTCTCCCATTCCTCCTCTGGATCATCCAGATGGTCATTGGCAAACTTCAGACGGGACATGCGCTGGCTTGAGTAGGGGGACATTGCGTGCGCTGCAGGATTTTAATCCATGACGGCGTAGTGTGTTACTAATGGTTTTCTTTGAGACTGTGGTCCCAGCTCTCTTCAGGTCATTGACCAGGTCCTGCCGTGTAGTTCTGGGCTGATCCCTCACCTTCCTCATGATCATTGATGCCCCACGGGGTGAGATCTTGCATGGAGCCCCAGACCGAGGGTGATTGACCGTCATCTTGAACTTCTTCCATTTTCTAATAATTGCGCCAACAGTTGTTGCCTTCTCACCAAGCTGCTTGCCTATTGTCCTGTAGCCCATCCCAGCATTGTGCAGGTCTACAAATGTATCCCTGATATCCTTACACAGCTCTCTGGTCTTGGCCATTGTGGAGAGGTTGGAGTCTGTTTGATTGAGTGTGTGGACAGGTGTCTTTTATACAGGTAACGAGTTCAAACAGGTGCAGTTAATACAGGTAATGAGTGGAGAACAGGAGGGCTTCTTAAAGAAAAACTAACAGGTCTGTGAGAGCCGGAATTCTTACTGGTTGGTAGGTGATCAAATACTTATGTCATGCAATAAAATGCAAATTAATTACTTAAAAATCATACAATATGATTTTCTGGATTTTTGTTTTAGATTCCGTCTCTCACAGTTTAAGTGTACATATGATAAAAATTACAGACCTCTACATGCTTTGTAAGTAGGAAAACCTGCAAAATCGGCAGTGTATCAAATACTTGTTCTCCCCACTGTGTGTGTATATATATATAATTATTTTTTGTTGTCTTAGCACGTTCTTATGTAATGTACTCACTTCTGCTGGAGAGACTGACGAAAGCTGTTCTTCAGTCGTTTGATCCTGGTCTGACACTGCTCTACAGTTCTCATGTAGCCTCTCTCAGACATACTTTTGGAAATGAGAGTGAATACGTGCCGATTTTTGACACAGCCTTTCAGAACTCGCTGCACAGAGTCTTTTCCCCAAATTTCTATCAGGTTTAGAGTCTCATCATCAGACCAAGGGACTTTGGTGTCAGTCGTCATGGAATAGGCAGCACCTTGGGGTTCTTGACACAAAAGGGTAAGTAAAACTGTCATGTATTTTCTTTTACCATGTACTGTATTTTACATTTCATTCAGAATGAACAGAAATTCCACACCTGTGTATTCTCCCCATATCGAGATGAGAGGAGATTCACTAGAAGATTCGATATTCACTGGAGAATCCCTGTAAAGGAGGAACACAGAAATTCACATAAAGCAGATTTAAAACCCCCACAAAAGAAACGCAATGGCATCAAAGGCATGCTGGGAGACACACCAATATGAGCAACTTCAATATCAGTTCTTACTGAAACAGAGGTGAATCTGCTTGCCGTTTCCCGGGAACCTCCGAATTGTCACTCATTTTCCTCTTCCAGGGCAGTGTCTGCCCTCTCCTACTCTCATTGGCTGAAAATGGCGTTCCCTCCTCCATAATTTCATCCTTTTCGATTCGGTCCCTCTGTTCATTTCTCTTCTGTTTTGTTCTCTCAGATATCCTCCTCTTGCCAGTCTCCAGATTTGATTGGTCAATGGGAACTTCAATAATCTCTTCTTTATTTGGATGATCAGAGTGTTTTTGAGTGTGTTTGTCAGCAGTAGTCACCGGTTTTGTGACTGGAGGGAGGGACAGAGAAGAGAGGATGCAGTCGTCCATAGGTAAAGAGCGAGTGTCTGAGAGAAAGAGAATGAGAGGCTCAGTAAATAACTGCAACTTCTCACCCGGTTAGCTACCACAAACAGTCAAATAATGAATTAATAATTCTAACAATCAAAGCAAAGTGATACAGTAGCAAAGATCATGACTCATCAGTCATAATTATCCACTGACCCAACCTTACCTTTTACGTCAATGTGTCCAAGATTTCTGTGATGTTCAATTAAAGCCTTCATCTCCTCTGGGGGAGTCGCTGACTGCAAACACTCATCCAGAACTGAGGGGGCTCCATCAAGCCATGACACCATCTGAGAAAGAGCCCTTAGTCATCACAGGTGTGCATTAGCAGTGGTAGGTTAAAGTTTAATACAATACATACTGTATTCTGAAGGCTAACTGAAGGCAATAGTCAAGGTGAATATGTGTTGTGAAATAAGATGTTCAGTTCAATGGTAGCACCTGTGCAAAGTCTGGTACAGGCAACAGCTCCTCCAGTCTGGAGAGGAACTCCCACAGGAGAATCTCCAGTGCTGTGTCATACTTCTGGCCGTACTGTACTGGGAACACCTCCTGGGGGTTAGAAGACATAGGAAAAAATGAAAACGAGAGAGAGAGAGAGAGAGAGAGAGAGAGAGAGAGAGAGAGAGATCATCTTACCAGGAAGAAGTGCTCTTTCACACCTGGGTCTTGTAGCAGGGTTTGGACCAGCTCCAAGAAATTGGCCCCGGAATCCTCTACTTGTGCATCTGTCCCCTGTAACATGCACACACACCACAGGAGATTCATTACCCAAACTCTGTGTGTATTTCTTCCTATATATTAAATGTATTTTATGCACAGGAGGACGCTGAGGGGAGAATGGCTCATAATAACAGCTGGAATTGAGTGAATGGAATGGCATCAAACACATGGAAACCATGTGTACCATTCAATTTATGCCATTGCAGACATTACTATGAGCCCGTTCTCCACAATTACAGTGCTACCAGCCACCTGTGGGTTAATGTGTATAGTAAATCACTCACACAGTGGTCCCTGGGTGTAGTAATGGAAGCTTTGATTCTGTCCAGGTGGGGCTGGATGGTCTCAGGGTCGACTTGGTGATCACCACGACACAACTCCAGAACCAGCTATGGTCACAAAAAAAGTATTTCAACACTATCATTGGCACTGTGCGCTACTGGTTTACTGCTTCAACTATCAACCACTTTTTCGACAGATTGGAGGGAACTAATACGGTGTTACCAATAGCTAAATGTACAAAAATAAATAAACAACATTTCAGTCACTAAATAAATCCATGTGCAGACACACGTCTCAACAGAGATGCTAACCCTGGCTCTCAGTCCCAGAATGAGTTGGGCCCTCTGCCGGTAAGTCAACAGCTCTGGAACCATCTCTGTCACCGAGGTGACAAACTCCTCCAGCATCCCGTAATGCATGACAAGTCCTTTCTGCACAACTTGCCACATAGCAGCTGACAGAAGTTGCAAGGGTGGTGCCAAAAGGCGCAAATAAGAAATTGATAGAAGGGGATCTGCGAGAGAGAGAGAAATAATTATGTTCACACATTAAAACACTACTAAGATCTACCAGCACATTGGGTATTTGCTCTTCCAAAGACATTACATCATAGGACTGACAGGGCAACAGTGTCAGGGTGCCCTCTACTGGCCCTCCAAGACAAAAACAATGCCACATTATTTATTTAGCAACCCCATGCTTATACTGTATTTGAGAATATTAATTAGTGGTGAGCCTTTGTGTTGGGGAACATATGGGTAACGTCATCTTAATTTGATCCTTTAAACAATTGCACATAGCCTAAACTAAATATGAGCCGCAGGATACACGCTCACGAGGATGGCACCAGCATGCAGATGCATAACAAACTCAACTCTATAATGCTGCGTTCAGGTCGGCACTAGTAAACTCGGAAAGTTCCACTATATACACATTGTATATAAAGCAATGATCGCAAGCAGATGTGTATAAGAAACGTAGGCCAAACACTGCCCAGGTGGTGAAAGAAAAATCAGTATTTCGAAAAAGTCACGCACCTTTGTAATTTTCTCTACGGATTCTTTCCATTGCTTGTTTCCGATTTTCAAAAAATATCCGACAGTGTCGCAAATATATCTCAATAACAGGGTTATTTTGCTTGTGGTAGTAGTGTCAACGCAAACTAAAATGCTCTGATGCTATCTTGGTAAAATGTGGATGTATTTCTAATAAAAAACGTGCATCATTCTGCAGGAAGAAAAACATATCTTTGGGCGCATAAATCATTCGAAAATATAAGGAGACTGCTTCTCTCAGTTTGAACGTGTATGACCGCAAACAAAGATTCTGGTCTAATCCGCTTTAGTCCGGATCACATGAAGCCTGATTCCCCCATTTGTTGTGGAGAACCACAATAGCCCCGTTTTGCTAATGAAGGCCACTAGGTGGAGTCACCGCCACTTCCGGGTTGATTTTAAGGACTATGGATATAGACCAAAACCGCCATATAATTATCCATATGTGGCTAATCCCTTTTATACAATACATTGTGTGTGAGTGTGAATTACACTCATGACATTCGAGGGCGGGGGTCTCCATTTAGACACTGTGATACTGTACTGTCTTTGCATTGTCCTTTTCCCTAAGGTTCGTTTTTCTTTCATCACAACTGAGGAGGAAGGGTGGAGCCACAGCCACAGCAATATCCGGGAACGCTTGCGAAACAGACCAAACAGACCACGCCGGGGTTTGGGATTTGAGAAGTCAATCAGAGAAGTGAAAAATTATTCCTGAGTTGTTAATTTTCTCGAAATCTAAAGACACAACCTAGATTCGAGCAAATGTCTTAAGTAGTTGAAGATGTTATAACTCCAACCTCGTGAAAGTGACAAACTGACACGTTTTCATTTTCGTAAAAAACTACTTTATATCGAAGGAACGCCTTTAATTTGACTGGCCGCACATGCGCAGATAGGCGCCAGACGACCGTTAGACACGATAACGTATTTCTACGCATGCGCTTTACTAGCCAACGTCGTCATGACATTGCCTACAAGTGTGATCGGGGATTTCTATTGGAGAAGCAGTTTTAGATTGTCTTCATACTATACTGTCTTTGCTGTAAACCAGGGACAACAGTTGCGCAAATCATTGCGAGATGGCTCAGCAATTGTTATTAAAAATAATTTGCGATCATCAGGGAACATTGGACTATGCAGATCTGGCAGATATTGGTTGTGGGGCAGATATAATCTGCGCTCTTGATAAACTTGTTGAAAACGATTTATTTTCTATAGCGGAGTGCAATGGAAACAAACGCATTTTTGCGAAAACGAAAGTTAGACGCTGCAAAGCTCAGCAATGTGATGGCTGCAATGATTTACACCTGTGTAAATTTTATTTGTTTGGGGACTGCAAGAATAGTAGGGGGAGGTAAGCATAACATTTGTTGTATATGATTTACATTTTAGTAGACGCTCTTATCCAGAGCGACTTACAGTTAGTGAATACATATTTTTTTTATACTGGCCCCCCGTGGGAATCGAACCCACAACCCTGGCGTTGCAAACGCCATGCTCTATCAACTGAGCTACATCCCTGCCGGCCATTCCCTCCCCTACCCTGGGCCAATTGTGCGCCGCCCATGAGTCTCCCGGTCGCGGCCGGCGGCGACAGAGACTGGATTCGAACCAGGATCTCTAGTGGCACAGTTAACACTGCGATGCAGTGCCTTAGACCACTGCGCCACTCATGATGTACTCCCGAGTGGCGCAGTGGTCTAAGGCTGTGCCACTAGAGATCCTGGTTCGAATCCAGGCTCTGTCGTAGCCGGCCGTGACCGGGAGACCCATGGGGCGGCGCACAATTGGCCCAGCGTCGTCCAGGGTAGGGGAGGGAATGGCCGGCAGGGATGTAGCTCAGTTGGTAGAGCATGGCGTTTGATTGGTATTGGTATTTTGGCCAATCACATCAGATATTTCACGTCAGATCTTATTTAGATCTGATGTGATTTGTTAGAGGACCAATTAGTGAAAAAAGACCTGAATTGGGCTGCCTGTCTAAACGCAGCCATAGGACCAGAGAAGTCTTAAAGTAGGAAAGTTTGTTTTGCATGGGCCGGTGTAAACTCCGCTCATCCGGGGCACCAAGCCATGCAAAACGAACTCGCCCAATGTTAGACTGTGTGCCTACACATTAAATGTATCATTGCAACTGTTTATTATTATTACATCTAAACGAATTTTTCAACACTGATGCAGTTTCAAGTTTTGGGCTGAAATAGCCCAAAACTTGAAACTGCATCAGTGTTGAACAATTCTATGGGGTTTAGATGTTGAATTAATTCAGCAAACTGAATTGTGCTTTGTATGTTTATTGACCTGTTTATTGTTACTTTGACTGCAGACGGACATGCCGCTTTGGCCATGACCTGCATTCCGAACATAACTCCATAGTTTTGAGAGAGCATAAACTTGAGACGCTGAGTAGACAGGAACTCCGGCAGCTATTATTACAAAATGACAACTCCCTCCTTCCACCGGTAAGAGCCAAACGTTTTCCTCTTCCTGCTAATGTGGATCAGTAGAATGTGTGTGTCTGTGTGTGTGCAGGGTCGGTCTAGGCATAAGCAAGGGGGGGGGGGCGGGGAAATCTATCGGGTCTCAACTTATTGTTGAGAGTTAGAATAGTGTAATACGCAAGTTCGACATTTGTTTGTGTATCAGCAATTTTTCTCTTATTAGGTCAGTCACTGACAGTCACTCAATTAGTAATGTCAGCTAACCATTTTAGATTGGTAAATTAGTCTATCCAGCTATCTAAACTTGTAGTAATCATGGCCAAATACCGACCAGGTATGCAGGGCACATGCCCAGGGCCGCTGACCTCCAGAGGGCCCCCATTGATTTTGTTAGTCACTCTCACTCAGATATCATAAACATGGCATAAGTAATGGCAGAATGTGTAGAATTGCAGAAAATTCACTTTAAAACGTACATTTCTCTCTGCCATCAAGAGGGAGGGCCACTAAAATGTTTTGCCCGCAAGGTGGGGTGGGGGGGGGGGGGGGGGGGGGCAACCAAATCTCACTTAGAACCCCCAAAAGGATAGAGCCTGCCCTGTGTGTGTGTGTGTGTGTGACGGATGAAGAGGTGTTCTCTGCACATTTGAAATCCATTTGAATTCAATCACTTTTTGACAGCATCCCTTTTTATGTAAATAAAACTTTCCATATGTTTGCCCATGGAAGAAGTGGTCAGAAAGTGATCTTTTGGACTTGAAAAGTAGGCTTCCTGTGCATGTTTGTCCACTCCAAAATAATTCCGGCATTCAAACTTCATGTATACTCTTGCCATTTGATGAATGGAAATAGACATCTGTTACAAAACACCAAAAAGTGTGCCTAAGGACATTCAGGGATTGCCATTGATTAGACCTACACTAATTGTGTCTTGGTGACAAATGTACGTTTTTTATAGCCTGAAAAGTCGGGACACCTGAAATGGGGCTCAAACTGTCCCGGGAAAAACGGGATGGTCACCCTAACACACACGGTCAACTTTACTAGACTAGGCTACAATGTGTATTACCATGAACTTCAAATAGGCCTACCGGTAGCCAGTGATGTAGTGGTAAAAAATAGGTGGGTAAACTCTGATTGCCGGTCACGGTGAAAAAAGTAATGCTCACTATACTTTCAATGCATTTTTCTGAAAAAGGTGGGTAAACAGCGTTTACTTTGCGTTTACCCTCCACTAGGCCTACACAACTGCCGGTAGCCTACCCTGTCAGCCGAGGCAATTTTACACACATGAACACACGCAGAACAGGTAGCCTGCATTCAATATAATAGGCCTATGAGTTTAATCAAAACATGTTTACACCCTAGTTCATGAGTTGACCATAATTCATGAGTTGAATGCTTGGAGTCTTCACAGATCGTGTGACATAAAACACGACCTTTCTTTCCTTACATTAATGACATTTATGACAGTGTTATTTGTCATTATTAAGCACTTAACAATTTAATTACAACATTGAACAAACCCTGTACGAATCATGGATCTTGGAGATCTTGGAAAATGCACTGTAAGTGTAACTATGCCTATATAACATTTCATTATGTTTCGCAGTGAAAACAGATGTCATGGGCACACAAATCCAAAATAATGTAGGCCTATGCCATTGCAAAATCGAATGCTTCTAACCAATAGAGTCAACTATAGGCCTACAGTCATTAAAGTATACAGTGGGGGAAAAAAGTATTTAGTCAGCCACCAATTGTGCAAGTTCTCCCACTTAAAAAGATGAGAGAGGCCTGTAATTTTCATCATAGGTACACGTCAACTATGACAGACAAAATTAGAAAAAAAAATCCAGAAAATCACATTGTAGGATTTTTTATGAATTTATTTGCAAATTATGGTGGAAAATAAGTATTTGGTCAATAACAAAAGTTTCTCAATACTTTGTTATATACCCTTTGTTGGCAATGACACAGGTCAAACGTTTTCTGTAAGTCTTCACAAGGTTTTCACACACTGTTGCTGGTATTTTGGCCCATTCCTCCATGCAGATCTCCTCTAGAGCAGTCATGTTTTGGGGCTGTCGCTGGGCAACATGGACTTTCAACTCCCTCCAAATATCTTCTATGGGGTTGAGATCTGGAGACTGGCTAGGCCACTCCAGGACCTTGAAATGCTTCTTACGAAGCCACTCCTTCGTTGCCCGGGCGGTGTGTTTGGGATCATTGTCATGCTGAAAGACCCAGCCACGTGTCATCTTCAATGCCCTTGCTGATGGAAGGAGGTTTTCACTCAAAATCTCACGATACATGGCCCCATTCATTCTTTCCTTTACACGGATCAGTCGTCCTGGTCCCTTTGCAGAAAAACAGCCCCAAAGCATGATGTTTCCACCCCCATGCTTCACAGTAGGTATGGTGTTCTTTGGATGCAACTCAGCATTCTTTGTCCTCCAAACACGACGAGTTGAGTTTTTACCAAAAAGTTATATTTTGGTTTCATCTGACCATATGACATTCTCCCAATCCTCTTCTGGATCATCCAAATGCACTCTAGCAAACTTCAGACGGGCCTGGACATGTACTGGCTTAAGTAGGGGGAAACGTCTTGCACTGCAGGATTTGAGTCCCTGGCGGTGTAGTGTGTTACTGATGGTAGGCTTTGTTACTTTGGTCCCAGCTCTCTGCAGGTCATTCACTAGGTCCCCCCGTGTGGTTCTGGGATTTTTGCTCACCATTCTTGTGATCATTTTGACCCCACGGGGTGAGATCTTGCGTGGAGCCCCAGATCAAGGGAGATTATCAGTGGTCTTGTATGTCTTCCATTTACTAATAATTGCTCCCACAGTTGATTTCTTCAAACCAAGCTGCTTACCTATTGCAGATTCAGTCTTCCCAGCCTGGTGCAGGTCTACAATTTTGTTTCTGGTGTCCTTTGACAGCTCTTTGGTCTTATACTGATAACAAGTTCAAACAGGTGCCATTAATACAGGTAACGAGTGGAGGACAGAGGAGCCTCTTAAAGAAGAAGTTACAGGTCTGTGAGAGCCAGAAATCTTGCTTGTTTGTAGGTGACCAAATACTTATTTTCCACCATAATTTGCAAATAAATTCATAAAAAATCATACAATGTGATTTTCTGGAGAAAAACAATCTCAATTTGTCTGTCATAGTTGACGTGTACCTATGATGAAAATTACAGGCCTCTCTCATCTTTTTAAGTGGGAGAACTTGCACAATTGGTGGCTGACTAAATACTTTTTTTCCCCACTGTACGTGTTGGATGGATTGGATGCGCATTGGTGTCTAGCTGTAAATTAAAAAAACAAGAAAATTGTGCCATCTGGTTTGCTTAATATAAGCAATTTGAAATGATTTATACTTGTACTTTTACTTTTGATACTTAAGTATATTTATGCAATTAAATTTACTTTTGATACTTAAGTATATTTTAAACCAAATACTTTTAGACTTTTACTCAAGTAGTATTTTACTGGGTCACTTTTACTTGAGTCATTTTCTGTTAAGGTATCTTTACTTTTACTCAAGTATGACAATTGGGTACTTTTTCCACCACTGCAGACTGGTGCTACGAGGGTCAGCTGTTTGTTCACCCGCACCATAGTATGATATGTTATGTTTGGTATGGTTACTTAAGAGAGAAGGTTACTTAAGGCAAAAAAGGAGGGTGGTTGGTCGGGGTGGATGAGTGGGTATATAAAGGTTGTGTTCGAATCTCATCAGGGAAAACTTAAGCATTTGAGCTAATTAGCAACTTTGCAACTACTTACTACTTTTTTTGCAACTTTGCAACTATTTAGCATGTTAGATAACCCTTCCTCTAAGCTTAACCCTTTAACCTAACTCCTAACCTTAACCCCTAGCCTAGCTAACGTTAGCCAGCAAGCCACAACAAATTGGAATTTGTAACATAAGGTACCATACCTATTACAAATTCGTAACATATTGTACGAATTGCAATTTATTGCAAATTCGTAACATACAGTGCATTCGGAAAGTATTCAGACCCGTTGGCTTTTTCCACATTTTGTTACGTTACAGCCTTATTCTAAAATGGATTAAATAATCTAAACACAATACCCCATAATGACAAAGCAAAAACAAAAATACCTCATTTACATAAGTATTTAGACCCTTTACTATGAGACTCGAAAATGAGCTCAGGTGCATCCTGTTTCTATTGATCATCCTTGAGATGTTTCTACAACTTGATTCGAGTCCACCTGTGGTAAATTCAATTGATTGGACATGATTTGGAAAGGCACACACCTGTCTATATAAGGTCCAACAGTTGACAGTGCATGTCAGAGCAAAAACCAAGCCATGAGGTCGAAGGAATTGTCCGTAGAGCTCCGAGACAGGATTGTGTCGAGGCACAGATCTGGGAAAGGGTACCAAAACATTTCTGCAGCATTGAAGGTCACCAAGAACACAATGGCCTCCATCATTCTTAAATGGAAGAAGTTTGGAACCACCAAGACTCTTCCTAGAGCTGGCCACCTGGCCAAACTGAGCAGTCGGAGGAGAAGGGCCTTGGTCAGGGAGGGAACCAAGAACCCAATGGTCACTCTGACAGAGCTCCAGAGTTCCTCTGTGGAGATGGGAGAACCTTCCAGAAAGCCAACCATCTCTGCAGCACTCAACCAATCAGGTCTTTATGGTAGAGTGGCCAGAGGGAAGCCACTCCTCAGTAAAAGGCACATGACAGCCCGCATGGAGTTTGCCAAAAGGCAACTAAAAGACTCTGACCATGAGAAACAAGATTCTCTGGTCTGATGAAACCAAGATTGAACTATTTGGCCTGAATGCCAAGCGTCGCATCTGGAGGAAACCTGGCACCATCCCTACGGTGAAGCATGGTGGTGGCAGTATCATGCTGTGGGAATGTTTTTCAGCGGCAGGGACTGGGAGACTAGTCAGGATCAAGGGAAAGATGAACAGGGCAAAGTACAGAGAGATCCTTAATGAAAACCTGCTCAAGAGTGCTCAGGACCTCAGACTGGGGCAAAGTTTTAACTTCCAACAGGACAACGACCCTAAGCACAGAGCCAAGAACTTACTAGAACAGCGCCGGAGAAGATGGCTGCCGTTTTACAGCCCTCTAACCAATTGTACTATTATGTGTGTTTTTCCGCGTTATTTGTAATTTATTTTGTACATAATGTTTCTGCCATCGTCTCTTATAACCAAAAAGAGCTTCTGGATATCAGGACAGCGATTACTCACCTCGCATTGGACGAAGATTTTTTCTTCAACGAGGCGGCCGCGAAGGATATCCTACAAACACCCGACAAGGCCCAAATCCCCGTCATTCGCGTGAGGAAGAGACGGAGATATCGCGGACGCAGATCCGGGTGCCTTGTAAGGATCCGACGGCGAGCGAGTAAACTGCCTCTCCCATCAATCCTATTAGCCAACGTTCAAGCTTTTGAGAATAAAATGGACGAATTAAGATTACGGTTATCCTACCAACGGGACATTAAAAACTGTAATATCTTATGTTTCACGGAGTCGTGGCTGAACGACAACAATGATAACATTCAGCTAGCAGGCTATACGCTACACCGACAGGACAGAACGGCAGACTCTGGTAAGACAAGGGGTGGCGGTCTGTGTATATTTGTAAACAACAGCTGGTGCACAAAATCAAATACTAAGGAAGTCTCGAGGTTTTGCTCGCCTGAGGTAGAGTATCTTATGATAAGCTGTAGACCACACTATTTACCAAGAGAGTTTTCATCTATATTTTTCATAGTTGTCTATTTACCACCACAAACCAATGCTGGCATTAAGATTGCACTGAATGAGTTGTACAAGGCCATTAATCAACAGGAAAACGCTCATCCAGATGCAGCGCTCCTAGTGGCCGGGGACTTTAATGCAGGGAAACTTAAATCCGTTCTACCTAATTTCTACCAGCATGTTAAATGTGCAACCAGAGGGAAAAAAACTCTAGACCACCTTTACGCCACACACAGAGACGCATACAAAGCTATCCCTCGCCCTCCATTTGGCAAATCTGACCATAACTCTATCCTCCTGATTCCTGCTTATAAGCAAAAACTGAAGCAGGAAGCACCAGTGATTCGGTTAATAAAAAAGTGGTCAGATGACGCAGATGCTAAGCTACAGGACTGTTTTGCTAGCACAGACTGGAACATGTTCCGGGATTCTTCAGACAGCATTGAGGAGTACACCACATCAGTCACTGGCTTCATCAATAAGTGCATCGATGATGTCGTCCCCACAGTGACCGTACGTACATACCCCAACCAGAAGCCATGGATTACAGGAAACATCCGCACTGAGCTAAAGGGTAGAGCTGCCGCTTTCAAGGAACGGGACTCTAACCCGGACGCTTATAAGAAATCCCGCTATGACCTCCGACGAACCATCAAACAGGCAAAGAGTCAATACAGGTCTAAGATTGAATCATACTACACTGGCTCTGACGCTCGTCGGATGTGGCAGGGCTTGAAAACTATTACAGACTACAAAGGGAAGCACAGCCGCGAGCTGCCCAGTGACACAAGCCTACCAGACGAGCTAAACCACTTCTATGCTCGCTTCGAGGCAAGCAACACTGAAGCATGCATGAGAGCACCAGCTGTTCCGGATGACTATGTGATCACGCTCTCCGTAGCCGATGTGAGTAAGACTTTTAAGCAGGTCAACATTCACAAGGCCGCAGGGCTAGACGGATTACCAGGACGTGTACTCCGAGCATGTGCTGACCAACTGGCAAGTGTCTTCACTGACATTTTCAACCTGTCCCTGACTGAGTCTGTAATACCAACATGTTTCAAGCAGACCACCATAGTCCCCGTGCCCAAGAACTCTAAGATAACCTGACTACCGACCCGTAGCACTGACGTCTGTAGCCATGAAGTGCTTTGAAAGACTGGTCATGGCTCACATCAACAGCATAATCCCAGAAACCCTAGACCCACTCCAATTTGCATACCGCCCCAACAGATCCACAGATGATGCAATCTCTATCGCACTCCACACTGCCCTTTCCCACCTGGACAAGAGGAACACCTACGTGAGAATGCTATTCATTGACTACAGCTCAGCATTCAACACCATAGTGCCCTCTAAGCTCATCACTAAGCTAAGGATCCTGGGACTAAACACCTCCCTCTGCAACTGGATCCTGGACTTCCTGACGGGCCGCCCCCAGGTGGTAAGGGTAGGTAACAACACATCTGCCACACTGATCCTCAACACGGGGGCCCCTCAGGGGTGCGTGCTCAGTCCCCTCCTGTACTCTCTGTTCACCCATGACTGCATGGCCAGGCACGACTCCAACACCATCATTAAGTTTGCCGACGACACAACAGTGGTAGGCCTGATCACCGACAACGATGAGACAGCCTATAGGGAGGAGGTCAGAGATCTGGCCGTGTGGTGCCAGGACAACAACCTCTCCCTCAACGTGACCAAGACAAAGGAGATGATTGTGGACTACAGGAAAAAAAAGAGGACTGAGCACGCCCCCATTCTCATCGACGGGGCTGTAGTGGAACAGGTTGAGAGCTTCAAGTTCCTTGGTGTCCACATCACCAACGAACTATCATGGTCCAAACACACCAAGACAGTCGTGAAGAGGGCACGACAAAGCCTATTCCCCCTCAGGAGACTAAAAAGATTTGGCATGGGTCCTCAGATCCTCAAAAAATTCTACAACTGCACCATCGAGAGCATCCTGAATGGTTGCATCACCGCCTGGTATGGCAACTGCTTGGCCTCTGACCGCAAGGCACTACAGAGGGTAGTGCGTACGGCCCAGTACATCACTGGGGCAAAGCTTCCTGCCATCCAGGACCTCTATACCAGGCGGTGTCAGAGGAAGGCCCTCAAAATTGTCAAAGACTCCAGCCACCCTAGTCATAGACTGTTCTCTCTGCTACCGCACGGCAAGCGGTACCGGAGTGCCAAGTCTAGGTCCAAAAGACTTCTCAACAGCTTCTACCCCCAAGCCATAAGACTCCTGAACAGCTAATCATGGCTACCCGGACTATTTGCACTGCCCCCCCACCCCATCCTTTTTACGCTGCTGCTACTCTGTTAAGTATTTATGCATAGTCACTTTAACTCTACCCACATGTACATATTACCTCAACTACCTCAACTAGCCGGTGTCCCCGCACATTGACTCTGCAACGGTACCCCCCTGTATATATAGCCTCCCTACTGTCACTTTATTTTACTTCTGCTCTTTTTTTCTCAACACTTTTTTTGTTGTTGTTTTATTCTTACTTTTTTGTTTAAAATAAATGCACTGTTGGTTAAGGGCTGTAAGTAAGCATTTCACTGTAATGTCTGCACCTGTTGTATTCGGCGCATGTGACCAATACAATTTGATTTGATTTGATTTGAAGACAACGCATGAGTGGCTTTGGGACAAGTCTCTGAATGTCCTTGCGTGGCCCAGCCAGAGCCCGGACTTTAACCCGATCTAACATCTCTGGAGAGACCTGAGAATAGCTGTGCAGCGACGCTCCCCATCCAACCTGACAGAGCTTGAGAGGATCTGCAGAGAAGAATGGGAAAAACTCCCCAAATACAGGTGTGCCAAGCTTGAAGTGTCATACCCAAGAAGACTCGAGGCTGTAATCGCTGCCAAATGTGCTTCAACAAAGGACTGAGTAAAGAGTCTGAATACTTATGTAAATGTGATATTTCAGTTTAATTGTTTTTATACATTTGCTAAAATGTCTAGAAACCTGGTTTTTGCTTTGTCATTATGGGGTATTGTGTGTAGATTGATGAGGGGGGAAAACAATTTAATCAATTTTAGAGTAAGGCTGTAAAGTAACAAAATGTGGAAAAACTCAAGGAATCTGAATGCACTGTATGTACGAATTGCAATTCGTAACATATCATACGAAATGGATGATGGACATCCAAAAATTACTACATACCATAACAAACATAATATATCATACTATATAAATGGAGTGTCTCGGATTTGCGTACAGATTTAATATGAATTGCTCTGAGACCAGGTGGCTTACATGATGACCAAACTGGCTCCGCACATGCACATGTTGATTTTTGTCTATCCCCACCAGACATGTTCATGACACACAGGTTAAAATACAGGTTGAAACACAAATGAAACATTCATGACATTTAGCTAGCAACAGCAAGCTAGCTAAATGTCATGAATGTTTCATGTGTTTCAACCTGTATTTTAACCTGCGTGTCATGAACACGTCTGACTTGTCCCGAAGCCACTCCTGCGTTGTCTTGGCTGTGTGCTTAGGGTCGTTGTCCTGTTGGAAGTTACATTTTTGCCCCAGTCTGAGGTCCTGAGCGCTCTTGAGCAGGTTTTCATTAAGGATCTCCCTGTTCATCTTTCCCTCGATCCTGACTAGTCTCCCAGTCCCTGCCACTGAAAAACATCCCCACAGCATGATACTGTCACCACCATGCTTCACCGTAGGGATGGTGAGGAGTGGCTTCCCTCTGGCCACTCTACCTGGGAGATAAACATGGGTTGTTATTTTACCTTATTTTACCTTTCTGGATCTTTGTAGAATTTTGATCCATTTTGAGTCACACAAAATCGTGTGTTCTCTACTCCGACAATTAATCCACAGATAAAAGGGGAAACTTAGTTTTCTTTGATTAATCTCTCCTCGTTCGTTCTTCTTCTTTGGATTTTATATGGTGGTTGGCAACCAACTTGAAGGTGCATTACCGCCACCAATTGGACTGGAGTGTGGACCTCGTTCATCTTTCAATCACCCACATAAAAAACATTTAGTAGATGGGAGAGATGGGACTTGCAGGGCGTCAAGTATCTATAATAGAGCCAAGTTCTATTTTAGCACCTGGCTACGCAGAGGCCCACGAGCAGTTTGGATGAAATTATTGAATAACATGTATGTGGACATTTATTTTAAAATGCTCACGCACGCACGCAGCGCGGATGGTCTGGTCAGCATGTTAGGTTTACGCATTATGCCAGATAGCCTAAAATAATGAAAGAAAAAAACCCTCAATAAAGCCTATAGATATAAATTGCACAAGAATTATACATTTATGGCTTTTTTAATGGTATTGTTTTCTCTTTATTCAACCACAAAGATGACCGCAGGTCCACACACCGTCGGATGTCAACTTAAATGGCTAGTTGTCTATTCTATGGTCTATTTTTTCTATGAATTCAATAGGTTTCCAATGGAGGATTGACAGTATAATTTAAAACAACAGATTTTCCCATTCAAGTCAACGTTCTCTAATATGTGCACCTCCAACAATCTTTCTGGCACCATTTTGAAAGACATTTCAATTGTATCCCCATTTTAGTACATTAATCAGCCAAAACATGACACCCACCCTGTATTCTAGAGCACGTTGTGTCTCAACCGATGGTGGGCACAACATAACTTTAGATTATGTAAAATAGGTCTAAGCTACAACATATGCGAATATCATTTTTTTGTTGAGTTTGTTGTTTTAGATAATAGTCATTAAAATGTTAACCCTTTACACTCGTACCCATATACAGGTTGAAAATGGCAGATTTGGGCACGCCTAAATTGGAACGCAGTGGTGGTACAGTAAGATGCTATACATGTCGTCAGACCTCAGGCTCTTTGCTTCACAGCGCTGTATGGGTTTTGACTGACAGACGTTCTCAACTTGAGCACCATGCGCTGCCGGTAATTGGGCAACTTTTGTAAATGTTTTGTTGACTGAGTGAGGGAAATGCTGTAAATGAACAATATTTTGAAATATGAGATGTTGAGGATTATAATAAATACTGCTTTGATGTCATACAAGTAAGCCAAACACCTGTGAGTCCAAATGTGCACTTCACATTTCCATATCATAAAACTCATATCATATACAGTGTCAACGTTTTTGATCACTATGTTTGATGTACAGTTACGATATGACATGGCATCATACCCTGAACAGAATTAGCCTATGTTTGTCTACTGTGAAGAACATTTGCCGCTGCACACACACCTGAATGTACTCATGACTCCTTTCTATGTGCACCAAAATTACGATATGTTTCTCTGAATTGCATTGTGAAAGTCTGACACTGTAATATCATATTTTATAACTTAGCTTGTTGGCAATAGAACAAGCTTTCAAATTTACATTTACATTTTAGTCATTTAGCAGACGCTCTTATCCAGAGCGACTTACAGTTAGTGAATACATATTATTTTTATTTATTTATTTATTATACTGGCCCCCCGTTGGAATCGAACCCACAACCCTGGCATTGCAAACGCCATGTTCTATCAACTGAGCTACATCCGTGCCGGCCATTCCCTCCCCTACCCTGGACAACGCTGGGCCAATTGTGCGCCGCCCATGAGTCTCCCGGTCGCGGCCGGCTGCGACAGAGCCTGGATTCGAACCAGGATCTCTAGTGGCACAGTTAGCACTGCGATGCGGCGCCTTAGACCACTGCGCCACTCAGGAGACAGGAGACAATCTGGGCCCACTTGGCCCAGATTGCGATTTATGGATTACGTTAACAACAACAGTAATTGTGTGATGGCAGGGACGCAGGCTTGTGTTCCAAACAAAACAACTACCAGTGTGCTTGCTCTAGTTCCTCAACGGCACAGCTAGGAGAGCTAAAATAAAGTACCTTCTTTGAGTCATAAAGTGCATTGAAATCACTTAGGAACTGTGCACACTTTGGAGAGGTGTGTGGCCACTTGGAGACACCAGTTAGTCCTCACTCAAACCGTTGTAATTTTTTGTCTTATGTTGCACCTACCCCACATTTTCCTGGAATAGTCTTATCATGTTACTGAATGTATCCAGAGTATTTTCAGATTTCGTTATCAACAAAACTGTTGCCTGTAGGTCTAGAATATTGATGGATTGATCATATAGAAATATCAAAACATTCTTTCAACTCCAAAGGAATTGCATGTCTATGATGCAGGAACCACTGACTCGCTACCTTTTTCTATAATCAAGACACCTGCTGGTAACTCTTAACTGGTTAGGACAGCTCATGAGGTGTCCTAAATATCTGTCAACTAGGTGTGACTCTTACGACTAAAGAGGCTTCTTGCATAGCTTCTATTTTTACCCATAAGAGTAGGAGTAAAATGTGTCTATTCTCAGCGCTTATGACCAATTGTCTACCCGGAGATGCTTTGTGGATACGGGCCCAACGCTCAGACTCTCAAGGAAGAGATTGTTGCCCTCATCAGTGAGATGCATGCCATCCCTAAGGTACTGCCAGGGACACAGTGCTTTATGGCAGAGTAGCGGATTGTGGGCATGCGCCTGTCACAGAGAAATGCAAACACCAGCTGGTTAACAGAGTGCCGGGCCATCTCTATGCGCTTGTTGATGTCCTCCTCCCACTGGAACTTCCAACTCCTCCACTGTGTGATGTCAGAGTAGACCACCGTTGTCCTGGGGAACATTCGGATGACTACCTCCAAATCAGCTCACATCTGTTCCCACATATGCTGAGCACTTGTTGGCTGCTTTACCTTCACTCTGTGGTCCAACTCATCCCAAACCATCTCAATTGGGTTGAGGTCGAGTGATTGTGGAGGCAAGGTCATCTGATGCAGCACTCCATCACTCTCCTTCTTGGTCAAATAGCCCTTACACAGCCTGGAGGTGTGTTTTGGGTCATTGTCCTGTTGAAAAACAAATTATAGTCCCAATAAGTGCAAACCAGATGGGATGGTGTATTGCTGCAGAATGCTGTGGTAGCCATGCTGGTTAAGTGTGCCTTGAATTCTAAATAAATCACAGACAGTGTCACCAGCAAAGCACCATCACACCTCCTCCTCCATGCTTCACGGTGGGAACCACACATGCAGATATCATCCGTTCACCTACTCTGCGTCTCACAAAGACACGGCGGTTGGAACCAAACATCTGAAATTTGGACTCATCAGACCAAAGGACAGATTTCCACTGGTCTAATGTCCATTGCTCGTGTTTCTTGGCCCAAGCAAGTCTCTTCTTATTATTGGTGTCCTTTAGTAGTGGTTTCTTTGCAGCAATTCGACCATGAATGCCTGATTCACAGAGTCTCCTCTGAACAGTTGATGTTGAGATGTGTCTGTTACTTGAACTCTGTGAAGCATTTATTTGGGCTGCAATCTGAGGTGCAGTTAACTCTAATGAACGTATCCTCTGCAGCAGAGATAACTGGGTCTTCCTTTCCTGTGGTGGTCCTCATGAGAGCCAGTTTCATCAAAGCGCTTGATGGCTTTTGCGACTGCACTTGAAGAAACTTTCAAAGTTCTTGAAATGTTTTTAGATATAGGCCTGTTGTAAATGTGTTTTATTGTTGCATCACCATATTTATAGCAAAAAGAAATACAACAAACAACTTTAAGCTACATATTATTTTGACAGAGGTAATGAACTGTCCATTGATCAGCACAACAATTGATAAAACAGGACCATGTGTGAAGCACAAGAGCTTATGTCAATATTATGCAGGTAAGCTAACAGTTACAGAAATTAGGAATGCAGACAGGATGTATCTATCTGAGATACTGTGTCAGCGCCTCCTCTAAGAGTATGAATTAGGCTGTTTTATCCTCACTTAAAACCGTTTTTTGTTTTTAATCTCTTGAATGTTTTGGCATTTAGGTCCAAGAAGTGTAGCACTTCTACAATGGGCAAGGTTTCGTTTAAATCAATAGGGGTTCTGTCAAAAAGTGATTGAATTCAAATGGATTTACCCAACTGCTCTGTGTGTTCATCTCAGGCTTTCTTGCATATAGATCCGAATAATATGGTGAACAAGTATTTTAAAAGCCTTGTCACTCACTCTTTCAGGTATGCAACTCTTATAACAAAGGCACCGGGCCTTATGGCAAGTGCCCGGATCAGGAGGGGTGCGGGAGACTTCACGTGTGCGACAGGTACATCAGAGGAACCTGCTCCTCGGGAGCCGACTGCAACAGGTGTCATGACTTCTTTGAGCCCCACCCACGGAGGACCCTGCAGCAAAGGGGAGTGCCTAACGATCTAATGGCGTCCATGTTGTCCACCTACCAGAACATCCAGGCCATGAAAAGTGAAGGTGCCGGCGGTGCTGGTTCCATCAACAGGCCCCAGAGCTGTCCTCAGAGAGATACAGGTAGATGGCTGCAGGAGTAAACAACAGGGTTGTGTTCAGTGGGGAATAATGTTTCAGAACAGTCATAGTTACCTTCAAACCCTTACTTGGAAGTATTTCTCTATGGACTTGCTTGCCAGCCAGGGTTGGGGTCAATTCCTTTTCAATTCCAGACCAATCAATTCAGGAAGTACACTGAAATTCCAATTATCTTCAAAACTTTTCAATAACCAGGTTTCCATCCAACCTTTTTATGCGAATAAAGTACATGTTGGATAGAACATGTAATTACAGGCCTGAAACAGAAAATGTATTGGTGAACTTTCCAAATGTCGATGAAACAAAATACGTTAGACAAGGTGGGATTTGTTTGGGGGTCAGTAAAATGTATTATGCGAGAAATGGCGGTGGAAACGCTTTTATTAACAAATATTGATATAATAACCATAATATTGAAGTAAACTTGGAGTCACAGGATAACATGTTGTGTAGTCCTCCTACTACAACCTGAGAAAGCATGCAGTTTATTTGTCAAGGTCTGGGTGAAGTGGTGAAACGGAATCAGGCGCAGGACACAGAACTGAGAAATGAATGGATTTACTAAAACAAAAGTAAACCATAACAAACCCTCCACGCAGGGAAGAGCAGAACAACAGCTCACCAAACGACGTAAAACAACGGACAATCACGCACAAACCCAGGAGGGAAAACAGAGGTAATTATAGGGAAACAAATAAGCATAATGGGTAACAGGTGTGAATAATAAAGACAAGACTAGTGTAACACAGAAACATCGATCGGTGGCAGCTAATACTCCGGTGACGGCGAACGCCGAAGCCTGCCCGAGCAAGGAGGAGGAGCAGCCTCGGCTGTGTTCGTGACATTATTAGGCTACAGATGAAATAAATTATGATGAACTTCACATGGTGGTGAAAGTGCAAGGTGATGCGCTTGACGCTCCTTTCCAATAAAAACCGGGTCTTATTCTGGTGACATAATCATCAATGCTTGGCTGCCGTTTGACAAATAAAAAATCTTGCTCTTTTGTCCGTAATAATCTCATCATGTAGGCTACATGTACCCGCACTGTATCTGCCAGCTGTTGGCTAGAGCGCACGTGCCAATACCAGAGTGGGCACATTCGCTATATAACGCAACATTTTTCATTCGGTACATAATCTTTATATGCACTACGTCATCACGCACAGCCTTTTATCCGCAACAAGTCAATTTGATGGTAACGCATCTCTGGTGGGGAAAATGTGCATATAGTTCAGATGGAAACCTAGCTAGTGAGGAAAATGTGGAATTGATATTTGGTTTACTTTATGAATTGAAATGGTATTGACCCCAACCCTGTTGCCAACTTTGATTTCATGTAACTAAATGTTTGTTTGTTTATTTACAGTGAGGAATGAGATCTGCCTGTTCTTTGTCAAGGGGGACTGCAAACAAGGAGGTACATTTAACGAGGGAGATATTGTGTGTGGCAGAGGGTCTGGAGGATAGCTTTCCCATGTTTGCTTTGGCAGAACACCTGCAATGGCTTTGCCACATTTTTACTCAGGCAGAAGCTATGGCAGCCGGCTGGATATGAGGTTATAACTTTCAAGGTTGTCAGTAGATACACAATACAAACCCTGTGAAACCACAATTCAGGGACAAATCAGGCTGGCACCCAGGTGCAACAATGATACTCAGCAACATATCACATCTTACTGCAAACGTATGACTTTCAGAGAAATGCTGGAGAGTCCACTTTAACATGCCCTACAAGTGGGAAGTGAAGGATGGACAGACTTGGTCAGCTCTGCCAGAAAACGAAGCGATCGAGAGAGACTTCTGTGACCCTTCTAAGATACACAGGTACAGTATGTTGTTATGTCATATTTGAAGATAGACTCAGCGATATGACGTAGATGCACAAAGTGAACAGCATAGTGGGTCAATTTCCGCAATAACTAAGAGCGTTGAAGCGCAAGACTCAACTTCCCGCTGTTTTGGTCCCATGGCTACCACGCTGTAACAGCGTGAAGCGAACCCATGCACATGCGCAGATATAGTGCTGTGTGTGACTGTCTTGCATCTCAATATCTGCGGTGCTGCTCGTGGCAACGTCATTTGGCTGAGTCTACCTTTTAACTAGACAAAGTATGTCAAACTGTGAATAAGGTACAATATACCAATTTATTTAACCATTGACATTCTCTTATTTCATCACAGTGATGGATCTGACCGTGTGCGTTTCGACTCCATGACCCGTGGATTCAGTGAAGTTCACCGTCTCTCCACAGTTTCCTCTGTGACCCAGCCCACATACGTACTCACCACAGAGTGGGCATGGTTCTGGGAGGACGAGTACAGCCAATGGGTCCAGTACGCATCCATCGTAAGTGGTGTGAAACACTCAAACAGGCTGATGAGTTACAAGGACCAACAAATTTGGTGTTGGAGAGAGTAAACTGTTATTTCTTTTCTATAAATCACAGAAAGAGATGCACAGATTGTCATCCATCACCAGTGAAGACCTTGAGAAAAGGTACCAGGAGGATCAAAGTGCTGTGGTGAAGTTCACTGCAGGCCAGCAGTCTTATGAGCTGAGTTTCAGAGGTAACACATCTCAAACTGTTGTGAAAAACAGCTCTCATGTGCAACCTACTGTAATAATAATAATATATTTTAGTTATAAGTGCTTAGCACAAGTTACAGTTAGGGTCAAAAAGGCTACTCTTATACACCCCTCCATTTCCATTACTAAAATCAGCCGCAGGTAGCCTAGATATTAGCGATGTGGAACAGTAGCTGTAAGGATGCTGGTTCAAATAGTTATTCTTGTAATTACAGATTTGACGCAAAAAAACACTACATATGGCACTATAAGGATGGTCAGACGACGTCCTGTCTTTGTTTCAACTGTGGACGCACAAGCTGCCAGAAGCAGGTAATATATGGATGGGAATGGACTGAGGATGGGTACTATGTTCTGTATCGAACCATTTATTTTATTACATCATTTCTATATTTACCTATTAGATTACTTATAATCATAACTATTTAGGATAGACCATAAAATGTGGTTTTGTATCTCAAACAATAGAGGGATTTATTTAGTTGAGTATGACTTGTATATTTAAGTTGAGAACTAATAGAGCTTTTCAATTGAGCTGCTTTTTTCTTGGTGTTGTATATGAAGGTTATTTTTCATATGTCATTTCAGGAGAAATGGACCACGCAACCCCTCTCAGAATTTCAGAGCTGTTCCTGGATTTTGGGACAAATCTGCCATACCTGACATTGGATACAAGGTGACGTGTTTACATGGGATTCTACTGCTCTGGCTTGCAGGGAAGTCTACTGTTTAACATTGCCTTTCATTTGGTTTCAGCTGTGAGAACCATTTTCTTTTCCCCTCCTGCAGACAGTCACTCTTCTGAGTTCTGACAGGGACTATCAGAAGGTCCAGGAACTTTTCAACAAGACCATGAGGGGCTTCCAAATCACCAGCATCGAGAGGGTCCAAAACAGGGACCTCTGGGAAGTCTTCCAGTGGTATGTTTACATCAACTCTCACTCACAATCCTAGCATGTTACTTCCAAAATGCTAAGTTAACCCTGGCTTGAATGCGATTATAGGTAAGCAGTGTTAGGAATTGAAAACCTGGTCAAGGTGTGTAGAAATGCTAGATACAAAATATAAGGTGAACAGCTCCTATATTTAAAGTTTATTAGACAAAGAGAGACATAGACACACACATATGCATATGGAAAGACAGACACGTTCCTGTAAGAGGTCCGCAGCAAATCTCTCCCCCTCAAGAGGGGAGGGCTGACCTAAATACTCTTGCTTTATCTGTTCGCTGTTTCACCCTTCCGTGCCAGGTGCCAAAGCATTAAATAAATGCGGAGACCTTGGGGTTGAATAGACTATACATTTGAAACGTCTTAATCGCTTAAAGACCCTCATGGCCGATTCTATGGCTCAGGGGCCCAGATACCAGTTACTGAGAGCTGTTTAAGTTGACCTCTGGCCTTACATATGGTACCTAGAGGCAAATTCCAATAGGGAATAACCATCCGAAAATAGCATTCTTAACAGCAGCTAATGGTCATTTCTCAGGAAAAGAGATTTAATGAAGAAAAACAATGGCGGTAAAAACAGCAAGGAGCTACATCTCTTCCACGGAACGGATCCAAAACACGTAGAAGCCATTTGCAGAGATAACTTCGACTGGAGGCTGTGTGGAACCAACGGAACTGTGTATGGCGAAGGTACCTCATGTTAACCAATTGTCAGAAGTGTAGTCAGATTTTAGAAGCAGTTATGATCTCATTATAGTCTGTCATTTTGTTTTACTGATGATCTTCTCTGTTTGTTTTAGGGAGTTACTTTGCCAGGGATGCCAAATACTCACACAGCTACACCAGCCACTCAGGAGTGAGGTCAATGTTTGCTTGTCGGGTGCTTGTTGGTGACTACACACGGGGGAACTCGGACCTCCGTCGTCCCCCTCCAAAAGGCGAGGGAAGCCCGACTCTCTATGACAGCTGTGTGGACAATGTCCTGAACCCATCCATATATGTAGTGTTTGAAAGGCACCAGGTGTACCCCGAGTTCCTAATCAAATACGATGATGGCGTCATGCACTGGTCCTCTTCGGCTCCAGCTCCACCCAAGACTGTCTCTATCCAATCCACTTCCTTAACCCCAACATCCAACCGGATTCAAGCCACAGCTGCTGCTACCCCATCAAAGAGAGTTCCATCCACTTTGAATCCATCTAAAACTGCAGCCACCACTTCCTCAAATACAACCAATTATCATCCCACTTTGCGTTTAGTCCATCAATCTCTCCCAAAACCTGCCCAATCCCCATTCATATCCAGTCAATCTCCAGTCCTCATAATGCCAGACCCAAGTTCTCAATTGGTGGATACCACCCTAGGCCCAGATTTCACTCCCTCATTTGCAAACCTCTCTCACACACTCACTACCCCAGCCAGCACCCCTTCTCTTACGCTCGCTACCCCAGCCAGTACCCCCTCTCGTACGCTCACTACCCCAGCCAGTAGCCCCTTTTATACACTCCCTACCCCAGCCAGCACCCCCTCTTGTATGCTCACTACCACAGCCAGTACCCCCTCTCGTACGCTCACTACCCCAGCCAGTACCCCCTCTTATACACTCACTACCCCAGCCAGTACCCCTTCTTATACATTCACTACCCCAGCCAGCACAGCCTCTCGTAGACTCGCTCCCCGAGCCAGCACCCCCTCTTATACACTCATTACCCCAGCCTGTACCACCTCTCCCTCACTCACTAACCCAGCCAGTACCCCTTCTTCTACACTCACTACTCCAGCCAGTACCCCCTCTCGTACGCTCACTATCCCAGCCAGCACCCCCTCTCGTACGCACACTACCCCAGCCAGTACCCCCTCTTATACACTCACTACCCCAGCCAGTACCCCTTCTTATACATTCACTACCCCAGCCAGCACAGCCTCTCGTAGACTCGCTCCCCGAGCCAGCACCCCCTCTTATACACTCATTACCCCAGCCTGTACCCCCTCTCCCTCACTCACTACCCCAGCCAGTACCCCTTCTTCTACACTCACTACCCCAGCCAGTACCCCCTCTCGTACGATCACTATCCCAGCCAGTACCCCCTCTTATACATTTCCTACCCCAGCCAGTACCCCCTCTTATAATCTCACTACCCCAGCCAGTACCCACTCTCCTACACTCACTACCCCAGCCAGTACCCCCTCTTATACATTCACTACCACAGCCAGCACAGCCTCTCATAGACTCGCTCCCCCAGCCAGCACAGCCTCTTGTAGACTCGCTTGCCGAGCCAGCACCCCCTCTTATACACTCATTACCCAAGCCAGTACCCCCTCTCCTACACTCACTACCCCAGCCAGTACCCCCTCTCGTACGCTCACTACCCCAGCCAGGACCCCCTCTTATACATTTCCTACCCCAGCCAGTACCCCCTCTCCTACATTCACTACCCCAGCCAGTACCCCCTCTCGTACGCTCACTACCCCAGCCAGGACCCCCTCTTATACATTTCCTACCCCAGCCAGTACCCCCTCTCGTACGCTCACTACCCCAGCCAGGACCCCCTCTTATACATTTCCTACCCCAGCCAGTACCCCCTCTCCTACATTCACTACCCCAGCCAGCACCCCCTCTCCTATACTCACTCCCTCAGCCAGCACCCCCTCTCGCACACTTTTCCTTCCAACTGGCACCCTATCTCGGCCTCACACCCTCTCAACGACCACTACTCCCACTCCCTCAGCCAGCAGTACCTCTCACCCACTATCCCGTTCATCCTCATTGAGCACACCTTATCACACCCTTTCTGACTCCTCATACTCCCCCACTTACACACAAACTCCCTCCACGTCAAGCAATTCTTCTAGCACACTCTCCCCCTCAGCAAGCAACCTATCTCGGGTGTTCTCTCCCTCGACAGGTGCCTTCTGTCGTCCACTATCTACCACAACAAGCATCACTAGATCTCCTCCTGAGTCACTGTACAGTGTTCCAACAGCTCAAAGGAGGGACACTAAAGAAAAAAATAAGTGCCTTCTCCAATAACTTGGCTTTGTCAGGATTGAGCAGTAAGTTAATGGAAAGTTTTGATCGCGAACTTCATTAAAAAATATATATATATTAAGAAAGAAAATGTATTAAAATGATGAATGATAAGTGCATTTGCATATTAAAGATGTATAGCTGTGTATCTTTACCTGTAAGGGCTCAACAACAGTAAAGCTGTTCACAACAAACCCGAAGTTTGTAATATTGCAAAAAGATGAATTTGATGATGATGTTTCCTATTCAGGTCTGCTGACACAGTCCATACATGAAACATGTAATACATGAAATACATGTTTTAAACTGAAACACTCATAAAATCATTGATTGTGTATGTTTTTTGGACTAGCTTACTTGTTTCTAAGAGATTTTCAAACAGCCTAATGTCAGAAACATTATTTATTTGGACAAATATAATCTTTATTGACATTAAACTGAATCAATGGCTCCTGTGTGTCTAACAGGCTTATTGTGCCGGAAATGAAGGTTCAATGTGACGTATTTAAAAGGGTGTATACTGTCATTAGTGTGATCTATTGCCTGTTTGTTATACTTGGATACCTTCATAACAGGGGAGTGGTTACATATACTGTAAGTTTCATTTAGTCAGAAATGGTTTTGTCGCATGCTGGTCACCTGTTTTGTAGGTAATGGAGAGCAAAGGTCTACTTCAGCTTTGACCATATGTACAGTTCGTGCGTTTGCGAGGGCCAACAGTCCGGTGTTCTACTACGGTGACTGACATGGATACAACAGCTCTGATCTACAAGGTCCTCTGTGCCCATAATGGATCATTTGAGCTGGGAGAATTGCGTGCCAACATTAGCACGATAGAAGATGACCTGGAAAGTGTTTTAGGGAATCAGGAGATGTTTACCAGTGCTGTCTCTAAGGGAAACAAACTGATAGTTGCCCAGACAAAGATGAGGTTATGCAGAGCTAATGGATGTAGTGGCTGCAGCAATTTACACCTGTGCAAGTTCTACCTGTATGGAACATGTCCATCCAATGAGAGGTAAACATTTTTTACTTTACTGTTTGTTTTTACTCTGGCCTACGAACCGTCTCTGAATCTCAAACGTGCAGTTATTTACCCATCATATTACTTCTATTAATTCTACTATTTTATTTCTTCAATTTTCTAAATTCATGTGGTCTTACAGAATGTGACATAGGGAATGCACTTCAGTATAAATGTCAATAGCTACAGGTTCGTGGCAGTTTGTAGATATGACATTTTAAGAAAAACTAAAAAAAACGTTTTAAAGAGCTAAATATGAAATCTACTGTCGCTCTTCTTGTGATTTGCAGACAAGGATGCCGTCTCTGCCATGAGCTGACATCAGAGCACAACATCTGAGTCCTGAGAGAGCATCACCTGGAGGAACTGGACAGGAAGGAGCTGTGTACATTAATGCTGCAGAATGACAACGCCCTTATACCCCCAGTATGTGCCTCATAGGCCTATATACAGTGCATTCGGAAAGTATTTAGACCCCTTTACTTTTTCCACATTTTGTTATGTTACAGCTTTATTCTAAAATGTATTATATATTTTTTTCCCCTCATCAATCTACACACAATACACCATAATGACAAAGCAAAAACTATTTTTTAGAAATGTTTGCCATTTTATTACAAATAAAAAACAGAAATACCTTATTTAAGTAAGTATTCAGACCCTTAGCTATGAGACACTATGTGTACTAAACTGAGCATGCAGATATCTGTAGCAAGTAAAAAATAATGTCTTTGAATTGGGACTGATGCACTTAAACAGAGTTTGCACTTATCCAATGTCCTTATCAAGCCCTTATCAGGAGTGGTCTGTATTTATCTCCAGGTTTGCTTCACATACAACAAAGGTAGTGGAGAGTACGGCTACTGTCCTGACAAGGAGAGCTGCAGAAGACTCCACGTCTGTGAGCGCTACATTACAGGAACCTGTGCTGCGGACGTGGACTGTGGCAGGTCTCACGACTTCTACGAGCCCCACCCGCTCAACACCCTGCAGCAGAGGGGAGTACCTAATGAACTGGTGGCATCCATGTTGTCCACCTACCGCAACATCCAGGCAATCAGGGATACAAATGATGCTAGTGACAACCCACGTTGGTAAGAGACCTTGTAGAGTAGCCTACACTAACCTCGGTCCCCGTGCTCAACTGCTATTGGATATAAGTTTGTAGAGAGAGCTGCCTGGTGGATGAGATCATACTGTACTGATTTTACTTTCTTATAATGCTGTCTAACTTTCTCTACTCATCAGCAGCTAAATTGATTCTGGTAACTGCCTGCTGAAATCCAAAGATTTACCCAGTCACTGGGATAAATCTTCAGTACCTGAAACTGGATTCAAGGTTCATAATAATTGTTTACTTTTTTAACTCATAAGATCTTCCATCTGGTCAGAAATGTAAAGGCAGTGCATTATACATCTATTGCGTTCGCATTGGTAAAATGAGGTGTTTTTTCCAAATGAATTCTCTCTAGAGGGTTGCTCTGCAGAGTTCCTCAGCAGAGCACTAGAATATTCTGGATCTTTTCCATCAAACTATGACTTGCTTCAGTGTGAAGAGTATTGAGAGGGTGCATAATCAGATCCTGTGGGAGGTCTTTTCGTGGTAAGAATCCAAACTCCTCATGCCAAAAGAAATGTAATCTACCCAAGAAATATGTTCATATTGTCTGCGTTAATCAAAGCAGTTACAACATAACATATGCAAACAGATATAACATGTTAATGGTAACTGGTCCTTAGATTCTAGTAGCAAAAGAGCAGACACTTTCAAACGCTATGAGGTGACATGCCAATGAAGATACTGACAAATGAATCTGTTCCTTTCCCAAGGCAAGGAGATGTAATGAGAAAAACAAACACAGGGAAGGAGAATGAGAAGCAGCTCTTCCATGGAACAGACTCTAAACACGTGGATGCTATATGCCTGCAGAACATAGACTGGAGGATTGGTGGAACACAAGGAATGCTGTATGGGCAAGATAAATTCTGCATTTCATGTGATATCTAATAGATTTTTTAATTTATATTAGAAGTTGTTCTTTTACGTGGAAATGGCATTGGACAAGATATTTTGTGCTATGCTCTTTCATGTTACATTGTGGAAAAGTTTACAAAACAAATGTCTTTGTAATGTCTCACAGTCACTGTGACTGTTCTAATTCTAACCTCTCTCTCCAGGAAGCTACTTGTCCAAGGATGCCAAGTTCTCCCACAGCTACACCAGCCAGTCAGGAGTCAGGTCCATGTTTGTTTGTCGTGTGCTGGTGGGAAATTACATGCAAGGACACTCCAGCTACCTCCGCCCCCCCCCCCCTCAAACGACGGAAGTCCACACCATCTCCTATGACAGCTGTGTGGATGATATCTACAACCCCTCTGTATTTGTGGTGGTCAGGAAGCACCAGGTGTACCCAGAGTACCTTATTCAGTACAGGGAAGGATCCAGGCCTGGGACCTATGTTCCACCACCTAACGTTGTCCAAAACCAGAGCCACCACGACATAAACTGGCAACCTATTCCAGTCATGCTACACTCACAAGCCACCCCTGTGCTGCCCAACAATGCAAGGTTCAGATCTCCTTCCCCAACAGGACCGGCCTTTGCCCAGCCCACACTCAGTACCCAGACACTATTTTCTCACTACTCAAACCCACCCAGGCCCCCCTCCATTCCCTCTGTTTCAAACCCTTCAAGGCAGAGAACCCCCAGACCTACCTTAACGCATTCTTCTGCACAGTTTGATTCCCTGAACTCCTTGACACATCCATCATTTCAGCCAGGTCTGATGACTTACGTCCCTAACCCACCACCCTGGGTCGGCTCTATGACCTCCATACCACACGCACCTCCATCAAGGACAAGAAGATCACAGTTTGCTAAAATGAAGGTAAAAAGTAAATCTATGGCATCACTAGATAATCTATAAGTATTGGTAGTCTATTTTTTATTTTGAAATTTAGTGGGAAATTACCTTTATATGTATCAATAAATTGTATTTATAATTTTGGTTTTCAGGTTAAATATCCTATCCTAATTGTGAGACAATATAATAACCTTACTGTGAATGATTGGAGAATGGAACGTTTCCCCTTTGTAAGCTAATTCATGGTTTTATTTTGAAATTGAAATGTGTCCTTTGTAGCTCAATTAACTGTATTAATTTTATAGTTTGACCACATAAGAATCAAAACTGCATCATTAAGGATTGTTTTGTTCTGCGTAAGTGTGGTTAAATAAATGAACATCTACATATTTAAAATGCATTTTATATTATTGTAACACAGCCTTTGCATGGCACCTTGTGTCTACTCTGGACATGTACACATTTGGAACATATTAAAATCATTACATGGAAGAATCCCTCAACCTAATTGTAGATACACGTAGAGTATAACTACCTCTGGAGCCAGATAACGCTTTCAATCAAACCAGCCACTGTGGTGCCACTTGGATCACCTAATCAGTGGATTGGGCTGATAGTTTCTACACCAAGCTCAGTGACAAGTGATGAGTCCCGTGTAGCTCAGTTGGTAGAGCATGGCGCTTGCAATGCCAGGGTTGTGGGTTCGATTCCCACGGGGGGCAAGTATGAAAAATGTATGCACTCACTAACTGTAAGTCGCTCTGGATAAGAGCGTCTGCTAAAATTACAAAAAAAAAAATGTTTTAATGAGTGTGATGCCGTGATTTAACAAAACTATAACCTTCATACATACCTTATGCACCACAGGACCAAGGTTGCTTACTGTACCCTTTGGCAGCGTTTACACAGGCATCCCAATTCTGATCTGATTGGTCAAAAGAGCAATAAGTGGCAAAATAATCAGAATTGGGCTGCCTGTGTAAACAGTCATAGTAGTTTCTAAATGCACCACTGCCTAAAATAAAATTGTAACGTTAGTGCTACTTATTTTAAGGGGTTTGCTTCCCTCTAGGGGTTATGTTGCTGAATTGCACCCCAATTCCTTTACAAAATGTGTCAGCAGACCAGAAGTCCCAGAGTAGAAATGCTCATCATATTCCTTTTTTTCTAGTTGAACATAATTCTTGTTTGCTGTAAGAGTTGCAAGGATTTTAAACACCAACAATGCATATTTGTCATTCAGAATTTGAACACTTTCTTTCTAAACACTTCAAATTGTCACCAGGTTGATATTTGACCACCAAATCGTTCAATTAACTCCTGCACTCTAGATGATGTGATAGTAGTAGAAGATGTGTCAGAAGTAGTGTTAGATGTGGAGTGGGGAGGCCCCGAGAGTGTGGAAGAGTCTGTGTAAGTGGGGGTGTATGATGAGTGAGAAAGTGTGTGATAAGGTGTGCTCAATGAGGATGAATGGGATAGTGGGTGAGAGGTACTGCTGGCAGAGAGAGTGGGAGTAGCTCTTCCTGAGAGGGTGTGACCCTGAGAGTTGAACAGGAAAGTGTGCAAGAAGTGGTGTTGGCAGTGGTAGTAAGTGTGAGAAAGGGGTTGTTTGGTAGCCTAGTGAGTGTGCGAGAGGGGATGCTGGGTGGCCTAGTGGGTGTACGAGAAGGGGTACTGGCTGGGGTAGTGAGCGTAGGAGAGGGGGGTACTGGCTGGGGTATTGAGTGTACGAGAGGGGGTACTGGCTGTGGTAATGGGTGTAGGAGAGGGGGTACTGGCTGGGGTAGTGAGTGTATAAGAGGGGGTACTGGCTGGGGTAGTGGGTGTACGAGAGGGTGTACTGGCTGGGGTAGTGGGTGTACGAGAGGGGGTACTGGCTGGGGTAGTGGGTGTACGAGAGGGGGTACTGGCTGGGGTAGTGGGTGTACGAGAGGGGGTACTGGCTGGGGTAGTGAGTGTACGAGAAGGGGTACTGGCTGGGGTAGTGAGTGTACGAGAGGGGGTACTGGCTGGGGTAGTGGGTGTACGAGAAGGGGTACTGGCTGGGGTAGTGAGCGTAGGAGAGGGGGTACTGGCTGGGGTAGTGAGTGTACGAGAGGGGGTGCTGGCTGGGGTAATGAGTTTATGAAAGAGGTTGCTGAATGAGGGAGTGTAAGACCAATTAGCTTGGCCTAGGGTGGTATCTACCAATTGAGAACTTGGAGCTGGCTTCATGAGGACTGCAGATTGACTCAATCCCAATGGGGCGTTCAGGCAGGTTTTGGGAGACGTGAACGGGGAAGAGAATCGGTTGGATTAGAGGTAGTGGTGGCAGCTTGAGATGGACTCAAAGTGGAAGTCAATGGAACTCGAGAGTTTGACAGCGTAGCAGCAGCTGCTGCTTGAATCCGGTTGGATGTTGGGTATTGGACAATGGAAGATGATTGGATAGAGACACTTTTGGGTGAAGCTGGAGCCGAAGAGGACCAGAGCATGACAATATCATCATATCTGATGAGGAACTCCAGGTATACCCGATGCTTTTCAAACACCACATATATGGACGGGTCCAGGACATTGTCCATACAGCTGTCATAGGAAGTGGGGTTTCCCTCGCCTTTTGGAGGGGGACGACGGAGGTAGGATTTACCCCGTGTGTAGTCACCAACAACCACCCGACAAACAAACATGGACCTCACACCTGAGTGGCTGGTGTAGCTGTGTGAGTACTTGGCATCCCTGGCAAAGTAACTCCCTAAAACAAACAGAGAAGATCATCAGTAAAACAAAATGACAGACTATAGTGAGATAATGACTGCTTCTAAAATCTGATTACACTTCTGGCAATTGGTTAACATGAGGTTACCGTCGCCATACACAGTTCCGTTGGTTCCACACAGCCTCCAGTCGAAGTTCTCTCTGCAAATGGCGTCTACGTGTTTTGGGTCCGTTACCATGGAAGAGATGTAGCTCCTTGCTGTTTTTACCTCCATAGTTTTTCTTCATAAAATCTCTTGTCCTAAAAAAACAGGATAAAAACATTAGCTGCTTCCCCATAATCTTGTTCGAGCCAGAGTTTACTTAGCATTTTGGAAGTAACATGCTAGGATTGTGTGTGAGAGTTGATGTTAACATACCACTGGAAGACTTCCAAGAGGTCCCTGTTTTGGACCTTCTCGATGCTGGTAATAATAATAATAATAATAATATGCCATTTAGCAGACGGTGATTTGGAAGCCCCTCATGGTCTTGTTGAAAAGTCTCTGGACCTTCTGATAGTCCCTGTCAGAACTCAGAAGAGTGACTGTCTGCAGGAGGGGAAAACAAAATGGTTGTCACTGCTGAAACAAAATGTTAAACAGTAACCTTCCTGTAAGCCTAAGCAGTATAACCACATGTAAACAATTGACCTGTCAGGTATGGCAGACTTGTCCCAAGATCCAGGAACAGCTCTGAAATTCTGAGAGGGGTTGAATGGTCCATTTGTCCTGAGGATAAATATAAAAAAGAACATGACATACAACACATAGAAAATAAGTAGCTCAATTGAATACCTAGGCTACGGTACCAGTCAATAGTTTGGACACACCTACTCATTCAAGGGTTTTTCTTAATTTTTACTCTTTTCTACATTGTAGAATAATAGTGAAGACATCAAAACAATGAAATAACACATATGGAATCATGTAGTGACCAAGAAAGTGTTAATTAAAAATATATTTTATATTTGAGATTCTTCAAATAGCCACTCTTTGCCTTGATGACAGCTTTGCACACGCTTGGGATTCTCTCAACCAGCTTCACCTGGAATGCTTTTCCAGCAGTCTTGAAGGAGTTCCCACATATGCTGAGCACTTGTTGGCTGCATTTCCTTCACTCTGCAGTCCAACTCAACCCAAACCATCTCAATTGGGTTGATGTCGGGGGATTGTGAAGGCCTGATTCACACAGTCTCCTCTGAACAGTTGATGTTGAGATGTGTCTGTTACTTGAACTCTGTGAAGCATTTATTTGGGTTGCAATTTCTGAGGCTGGTAACTCTAATGAACTTATCCTCTAATGAGCGTAACTCTGGGTCTTCCATTCCTGTGGAGGTCCTCATGAGAGCCAGTTTCATCATAGCGCTCAATGGTTTTTGCGATTTTCCGTATTGACTGACCTTCATGTCTTAAAGTAATGATGGGCTGTCGTTTCTCTTTGCTTATTTGAGCTGTTCTTGCCATAATATGGACTTAGTCTTTTACCAAATAGGGCTATCTTCTGTATACCCCCCCCCCCCCCCCCACCTTGTCACAACACAACTGATTGGCTCAAACGGATTAAGAAGGAAATAAATTCCACAATTTAACTTTTAAGAAGGCACACCTGTTAATTGAAATGCATTCTCTCATGAAGCTGGTTGAGAGAATGCCAAGAGTGTGCGAAGCCGTCATCAAGGCAAAGGGTGGCTATTTGAAGAATCTCAGATATAAAATATATTTTGATTTGTTTAACACTTTTTTGGTTACCTACATGATTCCATATGTGTTATTTCCTAGTTTTGATGTCTTCACTATTATTCTACAATGTAGAAAATAGTAAAAAATAAAGAAAACCCCCTGAATGAGTAGGTGTGTCCAAACGTTTGACTGGTACTGTATATTTCGTTTTCCACTTATTATCCAAGTACTGATTATGTCATTGTGAGTGTTTATTAGGTTAAATACAGAACATGGTGCCCATCCTCTTAATTCATCCTTATCAATACATACACAGAACAGCTCTGAAATTCTGAGAGGGGTTGCGTGGTCCATTTCTCCTGAAATGACATATGAAAAATAACCTTCATATACAACACCAAGAAAAAAGCAGCTCAATTGAAAAGCTCTATTAGTTCTCAAGTTAAATATGCAAGTCATACTCAACTAAATAAATCCCTCTATTGTTTGAGATACAAAACCACATTTTATTGTCTATCCTAAATAGTTATGATTATAAGTAATCTATTAGGTAAATATAGAAATGATGTAATAAAATAAATGGTTCGATACAGAACATAGTACCCATCCTCAGTCCATTCCCATCCATATATTACCTGCTTCTGGCAGCTTGTGCGTCCACAGTTGAAACAAAGACAGGACGTCGTCTGACCATCCTTATAGTGCCATATGTTGTGTTTTTTTGCGTCAAATCTGTAATAACAAGAATAACTATTTGAACCAGCATCCTTACAGCTAATGTTCCACATCGCTAATATCTAGGCTACCTGCGGCTGATTTTAGTAATGGAATTGGAGGGGTGTATAAGAGTAGCCTTTTTGACCCTAACTGTAACTTGTGCTAAGCGCTTATAACTAAAATATATTATTATTACAGTAGGTTGCACATGAGAGCTGTTTTCAAGAGTTTGAGATGTGTTACCTCTGAAACTCAGCTCATAAGACTGCTGGCCTGCAGTGAACTTCACCACAGCACTTTGATCCTCCTGGTACCTTTTCTCAAGGTCTTCACTGGTGATGGATGATAATCTGTGCATCTCTTTCTGTGATTTATAGAAAAAAATAACAGTTTACTCTCTCCAACACCAAATTTGTTGGTCCTTGTAACTCATCAGCCTGTTTGAGTGTTTCACACTACTTACGATGGATGCGTACTGGACCCATTGGCCGTACTCGTCCTCCCAGAACCATGCCCACTCTGTGGTGAGTACGTATGTGGGCTGGGTCACAGAGGAAACTGAGGAGAGACGGTGAACTTCACTGAATCCACGGGTCATGGAGTCGAAACGCAAACGCTCAGATCCCTCACTGTGAAGGCATAACAAAATGTTAATGGTAAAAAAAAACAGGTATATTGTACCTTATTCACAGTTTGATATACTTTTTTTAGTTAAAGGTAGACTCAGCCAAATGACGTTGCCACGAGCAACACCTCAGATATTGAGATGCAAGACAGTCACACACAGCACTATACAGTGAGGGAAAAAAGTATTTGATCCCCTGCTGATTTTGTACGTTTGCCCACTGACAAAGAAATTATCAGTCTATAATTTTAATGGGAGGTTTATTTGAACAGTGAGAGACAGAATAACAACAAAAAAATCCAGAAAAACGCATGTCAAAAATGTTATAAATTGATTTGCATTTTAATGAGGGAAATAAGTATTTGACCCCCTCTCAATCAGAAAGATTTCTGGCTCCCAGGTGTCTTTTATACAGGTAACGAGCTGAGATTAGGAGCACACTCTTAAAGGGAGTGCTCCTAATCTCAGCTTGTTACCTGTATAAAAGACACCTGTCCACAGAAGCAATCAATCAATCAGATTCCAAACTCTCCACCATGGCCAAGACCAAATAGCTCTCCAAGGATGTCAGGGACAAGATTGTAGACCTACACAAGGCTGGAATGGGCTACAAGACCATCGCCAAGCAGCTTGGTGAGAAGGTGACAACAGTTGGTGCGATTATTCGCAAATGGAAGAAACACAAAATAACTGTCAATCTCCCTCTGCCTGGGGCTCCATGCAAGATCTCACCTCGTGGAGTTGCAATGATCATGGGAACGGTGAGGAATCAGCCCAGAACTACACGGGAGGATCTTGTCAATGATCTCAAGAAAGCTGGGACCATAGTCACCAAGAAAACAATTGGTAACACACTACGCCATGAAGGACTGAAATCCTGCAGCGCCCGCAAGGTCCCCCTGCTCAAGAAAGCACATATACATGCCCGTCTGAAGTTTGCCAATGAACATCTGAATGATTCAGAGGAGAACTGGGTGAAAGTGTTGTAGTCAGATGAGACTAAAATGGAGCTCTTTGGCATCAACTAAATTCACCGTGTTTGGAGGAGGAGGAATGCTGCCTATGACCCCAAGAACACAATCCCCACCGTCAAACATGGAGGTTGAAACATTATGCCTTGGTTGTGTTTTTCTGCTAAGGGGACAGGACAACTTCACCGCATCAAAGGGACGATGGACGGGGCCATGTACCGTCAAATCTTGGGTGAGAACCTCCTTCCCTCAGCCAGGGCATTGCAAATTGGTCGTGGATAGGTATTCCAGCATGACAATGACCCAAAACACACGGCCAAGGCAACAAAGGAGTGGCTCAAGAAGAAGCACATTAAGGTCCTGGAGTGGCCTAGCCAGTCTCCAGACCTTAATCCCAAAGAAAATCTGTGGAGGGAGCTGAAGGTTCTGTGATTGCCAACAAGGGTTTTGCCACCAAGTACTAAGTAATGTTTTGCAGAGGGGTCAAATACTTATTTCCCTCATTAAAATGCAAATCAATTTATAACATTTTTAACATGCGTTTTTCTGGATTCTTTTGTTGTTATTCTGTATCTCACTGTTCAAATAAACCTAACATTAAAATTATAGACTGATCATTTCTTTGTCAGTGGGCAAACATACAAAATCAGCAGGGGATCAAATACTTTTTTCCCTCACTGTATCTGCGCATGTGCACGGGTTCGCTTCACGCTGTTACAGCGTGGTAGCCACGGGACCAAACCAGCGGGAGGTTGAGTCTTGCGCTTCAACGCTCTTAGTTGTTGTGGAAATTGACCCACTATGCTGTTCACTTTGTGCATCTACGTCATATCGCTGAGTCTATCTTCAAATATGACATAACAACATACTGTACCTGTGTATCTTAGAAGGGTCACAAGTCTCTCTAGATCGCTTCGTTTTCTGGCAGGGTCGACCAAGTCTGACCATTCTTCACTTCCCAATTGTAAGGCCTTTTATAGTGGATTCTCCAGCATTAATCTGAACAGACTTTAGGTTTATATAACAGACGTTACATTTTCATAACAGACGTTACATTTATGTAACAGTCTGTCATGAGAGAGTCTTGTTAGCCAGAAGGACAACAGAATATCTTGCCATGGCCTCAATTCACAAAATCGATGCTAGGCTTCTAGTGTTGCTTTGAAAGGTTTAACAAACAAAGAACAACATAGTCCATTATTGTGGCTGTACATGTTTGTATGTTGTCCTATGAGGAGGATATTGTATTGTGTATCTACTGACAACCTTTAGATCTAGATAAACTCATATCAAGCCAGCTATCCTGGATTCTGTCTGAGTAAAAACGGGGCAAGAAGTTCCCCTGATCTCAGGTGTTCTGCCAAAGCAAACGTGGGAAAGTTAAACATCCCAGCAACACTCTCCCTCTTTAACTTTACATCTTTGTTTGCAGTGGCCCTTGACAAAGAACAGCCAGATCTCATTACTCACGGTTAACAAACAAACAAACAACTTGAGGTGTCATTTAAAAAATGCACCCCCCTCCCCAATGTTATGTTTTCACACGACCCTCCCCTTGAACGGCAAAAAAAGTTAGCACCCTCTCCTCTTATAGAATTAACTCAAAATAATGTTTACGAACCACAAATAACAATAACTGTAGAGACCCTGTGTTTATAAATGTGGATATCAACTTTGCCACTTCAGCATGCTTCTGTGGCACGGCCGATGGCTACGGGCCAGAAGGTTGAGGGTTCGCCGACCACCACGGACGAGCTAACCCTCCCTGCCCGTTTCATTAGACCTACACTACGATCAGAACCGGCTGCAGACAATGATCAGCTAGATGGAAATCTGATTTTCCAAATGTTTATGATATACAGTGCTGCTTGAAAGTATGTGAACCCCTTGTGCAATTACAGATTTTTTCCATTTTTACCATTAAATCTTTATTTAATCAGAACCAGTCTTTTTGATCTGACATAACAGGTTTATATTTACCAAAACCATATGTTGGTGTAGAGGAAGTCATGTGTGTAGTAGAAAAACTAAATTAAAAAGGAATTAGTGTAGGTGCAAAAATAAGTGAACCCCAAGTTGCATTGGTTAAATCAAGTAGATAAGTAGAATCAGGTGGGTAAATAATTAGCTACCAAATGAACCAATCAAAGGAGAGATTGTTAGGAAATAGTTTGGGCGGGACTCTGATAAATAGAGATAAGAAACCTGGTCAGTTTGGTGTTACCCATCCAGGTGAATGCAAAGCATACCATGCCGAGAGGAAAGGATATCTCAGAGGACATCAGGAGCACATCAGCCTGGGGAAGGCTATAAAATCATCTCAAAAATATTTGAGCTCCATCAGTCCACTGTGAGGCAAATCATTTACAAATGGTGAGCATTTAACATGACAGCAACTCGGCCTAGAAGTGGACGCCCTTCCAAAATATCCCCAAGAACAATAATAAATCAGGTAAAAGCCAACCCAAACATAACATCTAGAGATTTGCAGACCTCCCTTGCTGCATCTCAGGTAACTGCATGCTTCAACAATAAGAAGAACACTGAATTGAAATGCCATTCATGGGAGGGTTGCTAGGAAGAAGCCTCTGCTGTCAAAAAATAACCAAACTGCCCGTCTTAACTTTGCCAGAGACCACCTGGACAAACCTGAGGGTTTCTGGAAGTCCATTCTCTGGACCGATGAGTCCAAAAATGACCTTTTTGGTCACAATCAACACCGCTATGTTTGGCGAAAACCCAACACTGCCTACCACCAAAATAACCTTATCCCAACAGTCTAGCATGGTGGTGGGAATGTCAAGATCTGGGGCTGCTTTTCCTCCTCTGGACCTGGACGACTCCACATCATTAAGGGAACCATGAATTCTGAGGTATACCAGGAGATTCTTGAACAGAACTTCAGGCCATCAGTCAAGGAGCTAAAGCTGGGCCGAAAATGGGTCTTCCAACAAGACAACGACCTAAAGCATTCAAGCAAATCTGCCAAAGAATGGCTCAGGAGAAAGAATATTTGTGTTTTGGATTAGCCAAGTCAAAGTCCTGCCCTAAATCCAATCGAGATGCTGTGGCAGGACCTGAAGCGGGCAGTTCATGCCAGACACCCCTCAAACTTCATTCAATTGGCAGAGTTCTGTAAGGAGGAGTGGGCAAAAATCCTTCAAAACAGATGTCAGAGACTGATTACTGGCTATAGGAGACGTTTAGTCCAAGTTATTGCTGCTAATGGAGGTGCCACAAGCTATTGACTGAAGGGGGTCACATTCTTTTGCACACATCAAATCTGAGTTTTTGTTAAATAAACAATGAAAATATATCATATTCTTTTGTTTCTGTCATTTACTTTGAATGTCTTTATTACGAATTGGGGTTTAGATAAGGATTTTATATGTTTAGTTTAATATTTTATAGCAAAATAATGACCAGCCCTGTAGGGTTCACTTACTTTCAAGCAGCACTGTAATTATATATGCAACAAATATTCCACCAACAGGTTTTCGTGCCAATGCACCACAACCAATAAGCAAAGCACACCCACTGGGTACAAATTGGTTGAATCAACGTTGTTTCAATGTAATTTGTCAACGTATTGTGACATCTATGAATCTATGTTTAAAATACATTGGATTTGCAAAAAGTCATAAAAACTATTGTTTTGAGGGTGACATTTCAACCACAGGATTATGTCATCATGGTAACCAATGTTCAACATAAAATATGTTGAATTTGTACCTTTGAAACAACGTTAGATCTTCAACGTTTTATCCACTATAAGAAAAAACTATAGACTGGGCAGCACTTCCTACTAGAGAATTAATATATCTACTATTTGGTTTCTCATCCAGGGTTTTAACCGAGCCCAGCCCTGCTTACCTTTGATCTTTGACACTGACTACTACCAATGTGCAATCGTGAGAATGATTATTGAGCATGTTACACAAAATTAAATAGATTCACTATCGAAGTCATTTCACAGAGAAGATTTAACAGAGCAAATGAAATGTAACCATACTTTATGAATCATACGGTTGAA